ATATATATATATATATATATATATATATATATATATATATATATATATATTCTCTGAGCTTATATATTTTTTGGAAATTTTGCAGTATGACTTTCTTTTTACTTTATTAGATTGCGCTGTGCAGTGGTGAACAAAACGTCTATTTTAGGCGGAAGATATTGATTTCTTGAAAGGAACATTATGCTCTGATATGGATTCTAATCATGCAGCTACATCATTTTACAAAATTTTTGAAGAAGCCTTTAGCGGCGCATGGTCAACTAAAACCAACTGGTTCTTCCATTCTGTAAAACATTTATAAATAGTTTTTTGAAGAAAAAAAAATCGACCCAACTCAAACGATGTAGATAGCCGTATGACGAATGATAAATACTTGAAGCCTTTCAGATCCACTTCTCGTCTCAGTAAGGAAGTCTGCTTTTTATGTCATAGTTATTTCTGGATACTCACAGCGATAGAAAGGGGACTTATCTAAGGAATAGTTGTAAAAAAAGAAACTTGATCTTTAAATTTAAGACTCTATGTTTCATCTAGCTTATTCCCAAGGAAATTGTCCATATTTTTTGTATATATTTTGAATGAAAACTCTGTGTAAACTATAAAGAATTATATGCTTACAAAACAAGAGAAATTTCGGGGTGTTTTTCCCCGCTTCATTTATCTTGAAATTGATCCAGAATATCAACATAACTGAATTTAAAGATTTTACAATAACAGTATTTTGGCTCTATGATTTGTGTATATTGTCGCGAAAGACGGAACAGGAATTCGAAATGTGTGAAAGTCCTATAAGAATAGTTTGCAGAATGAAGGATAGATTTGAATATGGAAGGAACTGAATATGGAAAGGATTCGAAAACTGGCGTGAAAAGGCACACTAAAAATTTGACCATCAGCGACAATTGCTTAAGTGAAATAAATCAATAATTAAACCTTTTACGGAATTACAGCAAATGAAATATATTTAGAAAATTAAACCAAATGAATACATGGCCTTTTACTGCACTTCCCTGCGAAGCTTTATGTCAGTGAAATATAAAGCTTAAAGTTTCTCTCAAATCAAATGCTGAAATTGAGATTCACCTTCCGATTCGACGATCTCTTGATGAGTATTCGTGGAGATATGAGAGAAACTGCTGATGCGAAAAGTTACTAGGAAGACTTTTCACCTGAAGTATTTCCGTTATCCTTAACACCCACGGAGAATAACCCGCCATTGTTTCCAAATTGCCTATTTGGAGCAGAAAATCCGGTTCACAAATGTGTTCTTCAGCAAGACACTCTGATATTTGCTCGATTGTTATATTTTCTGGTTTACATTCCATGCAAAGCTGGAAATAATCCAATACAAGGACTCATTAATCCAAAAAAAGAAAACTGATCTAAAAGACTTATAATACTGTCATGATTTTGGTGATAGCATTAGCGCTTCCGCTACTATGACGCAATTTGGCAGCCAAAACATGAAGATTATTAGATTCCAGAGTAGAAAGAATTTTTTGTTTCGATCATAGTGGAAACTAAACTGTAAGGCTAAAGAACTTTTTTTATTCAATTTTCAGAAGTATTTCCAATCTCCTTCATCCTATTTATAATTGAAGCTTATTTGGTCCAATTTGATTCATTTACATAATTTATTGCATCTTCTATAAAAGGTGGAATAATACATGTTTCCGGCAGAGATTAGACTCTTCAGGAATTTGTAAAAAAATTATACTTTTCGGCAAGCTCGAACAATGGACTGTCTACCATCTCGTGCACCAAGTATCTTGACACTAGTATGGGTGAAACTCGGATTGAATATAGAATAGTCGGGATCGTGGAACTCCACGTGCACAAGCTGTTTCGCGCAAGTCCTATGCATAAAATCATACGTTAGCTTTCTCAGAAGTTCTTGTCTTGAAGAAATATACGACCACGGATCATATAACGTAATTTTTGTGATGCCAGCGTGCGCACTGTGAACAATCAATTTACCTAGAGCTTCCTAAAAAATATTACTTTAAACTGAAGATGTGACACGAACGTCATCATAGCTTAATACATATAACCTACACTGTAATACGGAAAACTAAACTTGAAGAACTTAAATTGGTACACTAAACATTGCCGTGCATCTCCAATGAATTCCAAGATTGGATTACTGATTTTCCTACATTTTAAAATAAATATGAAGTTCAAATTAATTTGCAAACTTGCACAAGCATGATTTCGAAGCTTTCATTTACGAATCTCAAAATCTTGACAAAATTTTTTTGGCACTGAACTTCGTGGGTCGTAATCGACTTCGGTGAAAACTAGAAACAAACGCGTTTGTCTCTCAGAATTCCGAACTATAAACAAATTTAAAAATTCAGCAAAACTTTAAGTGGTTCATATACAAAAAACCTACAAGTGAAATGGCATATTTGTCGGTATACAGGACAGCGAGATGATTGGGAAGTTGATGAGATTGAGAGGTGTCGACGCTACAGAAAAGGCTTTTAACGATAAGTGATGGCTTGGAGATATAATTCACGATAACTTCCAAGAAAGTGTACGCAAACCTTAACCACTCCACGACAACATTCAACATCTCCAGTTTACCACCTCATGCACCAAGCAACATCCACGTGTGAGCATCTCTCAAATGTTTCATTTTTTCACAGGCCGCAGTTGTGTCATGGTCGGTGGTAAAGCCAAAGAAATGCGGGGAGCTGTGTGTATCCGTGAGGGGTCATCGAGGGTTGGACTGGTGTTTTTCTCGTAGCCACTTCTATTCAAGTATCTTACTACCTCAAATTGGAGATGTCTGGGAAAATTTCTATGGCGCGATAGGTTAAGGTCCCTGTTATATTTGTTACTTGCAACAGTTTGAGTAAAGGAAATACTAGAAGTTATCTTTCATTTACCACCATTTTTTCCATTCCTTTGAATATCTTATCATTCTCTGTCATTCATCTTATCATTCAGCAACACTCGTTTCAGATTGGCAGGTTTGTAAGTTAGATGTGAATTCACGGAAGAAGCAAATTGACCTTTGGAACTTGTTCATTTTCAGGCTGTATTTGCGGTGATGGGACACGACCATGGACCAAAGATACCATCATATAAAATATATAACAATTATCGTGAGATACCGAAACTCCGAGCACATGAAGAAAGGCTGGAACGGATTGGCTTAAAAGATCCCTGGATAAGGTATATGTTATTACATGAGTGATCTATAACTGTGTAAAATTCATCAGTTTTATATGAAAAGACGAAGTTCTCCATAAAAAAAGTAGTACTGTACACTTATGTTTGAAAACATTATCACAGGTTTTATTACACATACTGTGCATTTCTTCTTTTGTTATTACTGTCATCCGTTTCGTAAGCTGCAGGTTCGAGGATGTAATTTATTCCTTTGTCCTCCCGAAAATGATAAATACAAATGATTTTTGGCGACTCGTTAAATCAGTTGTCGAATTTTCCTGCTATGTTTTGTCTCTTTCTGCATTTTAGTGATTTAATAAAACTTGAAAGGAAGCTGGAATTCAAACTGTTGTACCCATGACTTTTTAAATATCTGTGAAATATTTCGATAAGTTGTTTCCTCGCACAAAAGTGTGGTTTGTACGAAGTTTTTTCGGTATTTTCAAAATTGCTTTGGAAAAAATCACTTCGAATCAATGCTTCTCTTTTTCAGGAATTACTCATATTTATTTATGGGGCGATTTGCTGGTGATCCGTGGGGTAGCTTCAAATATATGATTCGTGCTGGATGGAAATTAGGATGTGGTGTTGCGGCTGCGGTAATAGTCGTTGAAGAATCATATATGTACTGGAAATATGGACATACACATTGGGGAAAAGAACATCATTAGGATCAGTTTTCTTCCATCTAACCATTTCAATCCTATGTTGTTAGACTACAGTAGAGTTAATACTTTTTCATTTAAGAGAAGGACCATCTAAATGAAGAAAAATTACTGCGGAACAAATTCTATGTGTACTATATGCGATTATAACTGTACAATTCTTCAAGGTCTCAAAATCGTTCAAGAAACTTTCTGGAAGCTTGAGGACCCTTTTCTGTATAAATAGCAAACTTTGTGTTATAAAGCTTATGTCACTGAAAATGTACAGGCGCAAGCTCTATGTGGCATTCATATAATGATGCAAAACCTTTCCTTTTAAAGGAAAGGGATGAGCTTATTGATAAAGATAACCAATATGATAATTCAGTTTTTCTGGTGGTAACTTCTTCACTGAAGGTATTGCCTCAGAAGTCAGAAATTTTTTTTTATCACTCCTGAAAATGCATCGCAATTGTTGAAACATGAAATCAAGCCAGGTACTATTATGTTTGTGCAAATTGGACAATGTCGCATTTGAAGTCAAAAAACAAGTTTAGTGGAGCTGCCTGGCCAGCGATCTGAATCCGTTTTTGTCAGTTGAATTCGAGATTGAGTTTATCGACCCTCAATTATTAGAAAGAGAATGGTGAGAGGTTGATAAAAGTTTTTTCACCATTAACTTTCTTTGAATTCTGAAAAAAGGCAAAAATTTGGAAGTGCACCATTGGTCAGTCGATATCAATTTCTTTTTGTTCCGTCAACAAATTATTGGGATGAATGAGTATTTGGCTTTTAAAATAGGTCAGTGGATTGATACTTGCGGCAATAGCAGATGAGTGAATAAAAATCGCAGTGATCTAGTTTTGGACAATATTTCATCGTCAAACCTTCCCTCACTTCTGTATGGGATGAACAATGTGAATGATTTCCGGGTTTTTGACATGTTCAAGCAATCCCGAAAAACGACTTCGGCGAAGTCATTTAGGACGTTTGTCAGTTATTGGATGCGGTCACTAAAATTCCTTGCTGTCTGTTTCATTTTTGTTGGTAGGATTCTTAACTATTTGGAAGTTTTATTTAATTAAAGGAAACTTGTCAGAAAGTTCTACTTGACCAGGGGAAAAAACATTTTGAGTGAGTTTGTGGGAAGTTGTAATAAAATTTCGGGATTAATTATGCAGCTTATTTTACGAGGACTTCATGGGAAAGGCCAAATTGTTCGGCGAAAAATATTTTGGCGATCCTTTCGTAATGTATTTCATTAACTTAGATACTACTAAGTCGCTGGAAGGAACAGTGAAGCAGTTTACTACTGATAGTGGTCAATGGAATGTTGCGAAAAATGGTCTAAACGTTGTTGATTCGCAACATCAACTTTCTGACAGGTTATTCTACTTTTGAGCATTTCAAAATTTGGTAGGTTGAAGCAATTTATCAAAAACTATTCTCAAACTAATGACAGGGAATTTTATTCATGATGTTCATTTGATTCAAAATTTGAAGTGTTAGAACTGATCTCGCATTCCAATGTACCACAATATGCATCCCTAAACATGGGAGAAGCCTTGCTTTTTTATCCAAAACGATGATAGAGCACTCAACAAACAAATCATTGGTGGAGAAATGGAATTTATTTAGAACAAGTTTCCATGAATTAATGATCATTCCAGATTCAACGTAGCGAGCATAATTAATTTGCTTAGTGATATCATGCAAATTTTGAACAGAAATCGATCAAATTTGGCATCACCCAATCAATACAAGCGACAGGTCAGCATATATTTACCTCAATTTATTATAAGTAATAGAACAGCTTTGATTGTCAAAAGTTGTTTGTTATCTTCAAATTTTTTCTCCAGATTTTTTCCTAACATAAGGCTTTTTACAAGACATGAACTAAATTTAAATTTTATTTGGACTCTAATTTGGGTTCCATTTATCCACTTAGCTTTGATTTAGGCTATAAATTCAGAGCAAATCTCGTTTATGATAGAATTATCTCATGATAATATATTTCAAACTAATCAAGAAAAGATGAGTGTTTTAGTCTCCCCTGAAGATGAATTGGAATCTAAAACGATATGTTGAACTTGTAAATGCAACGAATGATCATAATCAGAAGCGCCAACCTTTAACTCATTTGGACACCGGCGGAAGTAATTTTGATCGCTTTATAGTATCAGAGAGGAAAAACGACAACCCAGTTTTGGATTGGATTGTTGGCAAATTTATTAGACGAGGTGGAGCTTTGATTGTTTTTCCAGATCTTATCAGATAACGAAAAGACATCCTTTTATCTCATATCCTACTTCATCTTTCAATCTATTTGCTTAAACCGGACGTATGAAAAAATCTGAGGTATTAAAATTTTTCTTAAAAGTTTAAAACTTTCAAACTTTCAAACTCGTAGGAGTTATGCCATAGTCAAGTTGTAATGGTTTGATAAAAACAAAGATGGGAAAAGGAGAACAAATTAAATTAATTATCCCTTACAGTAATTTTAACTTTGTTACTCTGTTGATATCTTCCGATGGGTTTTTCCTAGTTTATTGGATGCATGAGAACAGTATTGTAATATAGTTATATGTCAAATGGCCTCATACTTTCTGGAGGTTAATTATTCTAACAGACTCCGGTTCGCAATATTTTTTATACAGAATATTAATTTAGGTCTGGATTGGTCAAATGGGAATCTGAGATTGGTCAATATACAAGGTAACAGTATATTGGGATCCGATCTAATCATACATGATCGTAGTGTTGAAATACCTCTCAAACAGTGGCTTTATACTTTGAATTCCATTTTAAAGCGAAGTCCTAATTATATGTAGCTTTAATATATCCATTAACTGTTGTTACTTCTTATAATTGTTGTCTAAAACCAATCATTCTTGCAGTTCTACGATTATAAGGATGTATTGAATAGGAGCTCTTCTTTGCATTGATTTCTTAATCTTTCTATTAGCAGGAAATGACACAGCAAAGATATATGAACTTTTTGATTGCATGATACTAATAGAGGGAAGTCATTTGTTTAATGCCTTCTTAACTAGTTGCGGAATTTCAATTTTGGTAACTGCTAATGGCCTAACAAATGAAGGATGCAAATAGGTTTGATATATTGACGACCCGTATATTTTCCTTCGCCCTTAAAGCAACAAAGTCGTGCAATGGATTTGGAAAGCTGCTTGCACAAGTTATTGTGCTGAGATCAGCAAGTAATCGAAAATATCATCAAATGTTATTCAAACATTAAATTTTCAACTTTGAACATAGAAAAATAGAAAATGCCTTTGTATGTCATTAATGTCACATGACAAAAATTTCTGCCACTCAACAGAAAAATGTCATACCAGTTTCTGTTTATTTCCCCAATCATCCATATTGGCGATTACATGACCCAAAACGGCAAAAATTGATGCCGTATATTCCAGATCCCCATTCTTGAATATTGTTATGTAATCACCATCAGTATGATGAAAATGGAAATAATATTCGATGGCCTTGTCAGGTATATAATTAACTGATGGTATCCCATCCTTAGCCCAGAAATTAACGTCACCCTGGAATCCAAGTTACTGAAATTAATAGGACGAAAATCACTTCTGTTGGAGTTTTAAAGCTTATCGTATTTCATATATCTACAGCTAGACTAATTTGCTTTGACTTCTGCAAATCCCAATGACTTTTGGTTCTGATCGCTCTATGAACTGCTCCGACAAGATCTCTAGTTCTGGTGCACAAGCTATTATTAGCAAAAATTGTCATATCGTAAAATAAAAGCCGCCGTAAGTTATATTCAACGTTTTTGATTCTTCAAGTGGATTAAAGTTGTTTTCTAATAATTTTAAAATCAGAAAAAAAAAGTATTACAATCCCTTTTATTCTTTTTTTATTTTCAAATATATTACAAGAACTAGCAAGAAGTGATTGGGAGTTTCGAAGAGTTACCTGACTTGGATTTTTCAGCAGTGTAAGCGGCATGTTATATCTGCTCAACAGGCGTACTATTTCATCCAGTCGCTTCATCTTTAAAAAAAAAAAATCCTCTTTCCAAAGGCAAAAACTCAATGCGGACGATTCAAGTTGGTTGGAACACTCATTGAAAGATACGGATGACTAATTGTAAATGTGAGACAATTTACTAAATCGATGAATTCCATTCTAAATTAGGAGATTTAAAACTTTGAGATGATAGGACCAATTCGTAAAAATAACTTTAAATAAGTAAATAGATTTACATGATGCTGATCACCGCTGAAGGCAAGATGAGAAAGCCAGTTTTCTGGTTTGAATGCTCCTGTATCGGTTTCAGATACAAAATAAAATGCGTCTGTTGTATCATTTTTATGGGTGATGTAGTAATGTTTTGCACCCAAAAATCCCTGTTCTTCTGCAGTCCAAAATATGCCTCGAATTGTTCTGAATCAAAACAAACTAGTAAAATCTTACGAAAATTTTGACTTATTAATTGTAAAAAAGTGAAAAGTAAGCAGTAACCACAAGAATAAAAAGTAGATCAATTAAAAAAAGAAATAAACAAATTCGCGAAGAACGAAAAAAAATGAAAAACCGAAGTTAGTTCAATTGGAGAGAATATAATTTAATTGATCAAACTAGTGAAGTAGTGAAGCAATGGCTTGAAATGATTACGTGAATAACGTTTACTAACAATTATGTAGTTTTGTTAGACGAACCGTTTCGGCTTGAAAGCAGCATTTGTTTTGGCCAATTGTTTTAAGGAATATAAGGCATTCCACACAACAGCACAACCGCCACCATCATCTAGTGCTCCTTGTCCAACATCCCAGCTGTCCAGATGCGCTGATAACAGTACCACTTCAGATGGTCGTTCCTGACCTAATTATGAGGAGATGGATAATGACAGTTAGTTCAATTTTTGTCGCACATAAAAGGATTCTTTCATTTTCAGTATTTTCGCAAACTATTCCAAAAAAAAGCAAATGAAAATCCTGAATTGTAGAAACATTTAAAAATCTAGTAAAACTATTTAGTAATTCTTATTCATGCCGGTAACGTAGGAAAGAAAAAAGTGTAGCTTGAAAATTTTAAAGGAAATCGGAAAACTGCATTGTAGGACCGGTAATTTGAAAGATGAGATTTCTGGATGTTGTACGATCTTCGCTGTGCGATTTTATATGCATTCGGATTACGATCCTTTCACCGTTTTGAAACATTCGACCGATCATTTCGGCTTGTTCGATCGTCAAACATGCAGCTGGAATTCTTGCACCCTCTGAAACGCTTCATGCATTTTCCAAAAGACGGCCACTGTCAATTTGAGTAGCTATTAATTAACTAATTAACCAGAAACAGTTATTTAAAAGTTAGTGTTGAAACAATCAATCAATTATAGTCTGAGCAAATTGAAAAATGGCTTAAAGTAAACAAATATGTAATTGCAGGCCTTTTTACCTGCACCACTGCCAGCATGAGGTGAACCGATGGAAAATGGTGTTATTGATTTTATCAAAACGCCAATGGCCCCCATTGATTCGAATAATTTTACTGATCGGCGATATTTAACTGTTTGTGGGTACCCTCTAAATATTTGTGCCGTTACGACAATCTTCCCACTGATGTTAACGTGCTGAAACGCAACACATGTAAATGAATATGAAATTCCCTATAATAATTCACTGAATTATTCCTGTTGTAGATTCAAACGCTTTACCTAAGAAAACCTAAATAAACCATCAAATTTTCTTCCTATCCATCCCTGATTTATGAAGTAAGTTCTAAATACCTGGATACCATCGAGTTCACGAATAACTACAACTTCTCCGATTACATCAGCTGGTTCGGATCCGCCAAGAGCAAGCACATTAAGCCGTTGATATCGCGGTTCTAAAAATTCGCAGCAAAGCAGATTCATACAAAAAATTGAAAAGAAACGAAACTGCTATAGAAGAAGTAGTTGGAAGTAAGTATTCAATTAAGTATTAAGCATCAGAAATATTTTTTTACTCTTAAGTTATGTTTCCTTACTTTAATTATTTGACATGAGAAATTTTTTTTTAATACCAATCATTTGAACATTGTCGTCTCCACGAACCCATTTCGGCAAGTCTGGTACATCCTCGGTGTGCACATCATCGAAACCATCCTCCTTCAAACTTTTTGCCAAGAAATCGATGGCTCTATAAAGTTGGAGAATTCAGCACTGAGACCAATGATATCTTCCAGTCTTATATTTGATTTTATGGCTTACTATCACTCAGTTATACTTTTCAACCCTTTTCAAATATTTTTTAAATTAAAAAAAAGACTACATTATTACCTTTTTCGTCACCATCGTTTTCTGTAAATGATTCATGTGACATGTCCGAAAATTAATCTCACAAACGGAAATTCTTAAAAAATTCTTTGCCATATCAAAATGAGGACTGTAAAATCCTTTATCTTATTGCTAAAAGTTAATTCATTATGCTCAAAACCTACTTTTCAAGGCTATCAGAGCCAACCATACGATGTCCAAAGCCATCCACCAGTGTGGTAAGCCACTGATAAGCTAATCCAACTCCATCACCTTCAGTAATATAATGAACGAGTTCGGTGGTATCGTTTCCAAACTTCAACAAATAATTGCGTTCAGCAAGGACAGACTAAGTAAGTTTATATCTGTGCAATTGACTTTATTTAAATTTAACTAAAAATTAAACTGAAGAATGAACGACAAGGACTAAAAGAACATAGAATTGTACAGTTGAGTATTAGTACATTTCAAAGCTATGTACACTTTAAAACTTTTTCCCCATTGTAAATCATCAAAAGATGCTATTTTCAGCTTGCTTAATTTTTAAATCCCATTTAAAACTTCATTTAGTTAATTTGCTCAGAAACAAAACTCCAAATTCACTTGATTCAATTTCACTCATTTCATCAAGTAAGGATGGAAATTTCGGTTAAACAAACATTGTGAAGTTTTTTTGTTAAGATTTGCGCATATTTCTTGGATTAATGAGAGATACCTCTATTTGTTGTCGTGCTGTATGCGCCTCTGTTTATAAAGGTGAAAATGAGCACAGTTTTGGGATACGGATGCTATTTGGTAGAACCAAATTCAAATTTTCTTTCTTTTTTTTGAGAGAGGAGGAAGAGGGAGGTAAAACAAGAGCGGAGTAAATTCTCCGCTCAGGTATTCAAATGAAATAATACACGCCGTACCGACAGCTAGGCGGGATAGCTATTTAGATAGTTACTATTTGATAATTACTATGTGGTAGTCGGATACTTGGATATATTCTGTCTATTTGGCTTTACATAAATTCCACACTCCTTTACAAGTATTCAGCTTAAGAGCAATTGAAAATTATGCATTTTCGAAAAACTGACATTGGCAGTTTTTTGGAAATAGTTGGAATTGAAAATGCATTTGGACTTCGAAATGTAAATGAAGTTAAAATTGAAAAGGAACTTTTGAAAATAAATCTATCTATTCATTTATAAATCATTAAAATTGGAAGAACGAGCCTTTTCCAGAACATAATTTTGGCCCGTAACGACAACGAATGTTACAGCGATGGCGAGGGAAAGAGAGAACACAGCCGGCATTCCTGAATCAAATAGTTGAAATGCGATAATACAGCGACATGGGATCGGCACCAACTCATTTCAGAATTTTGCGCAAGAGGCAGGAGGAAAGGAAGACAAAGTAAAACTCTCCATTAAACCACAGTGTACAAGAGAAAAGTAAAATATTCCTGTTCTGTCTCTGTTGGATTCCTTAAATTTCACAAGCAAACATTTGTTGATAGGAACCTTCTTCCTTTTCAAACCAAAAATCGAGTTAAATCGTTTACAGTAAATTCATAAGTTTTTTTTAGCAGTTTTTTTTAGTTTTTTTTTATAAGTTTTTTTAGCAACAGTAGCTTCAGTTTTTTCTTGCAACAAAATTTATTTGTTTCCGTTCATTTATTCCACACATGATACCACTGGGAATTCCCCGGATTGCAAGAAACACTTCAGATTTCAACACTTTACAGTTCTGAAAAGGTTTTCATTTCAGAGTCAATGAAGTCGAATAAAGGGAAGCAGTACAAAGCAATAACAAAAAAAGAAGGAAAATAGAGCATGCATTAAATTATCACGAGCAATATTTCTCCTTTATTTCCTTAGGATTTATTGTTAAAATTCAATATTGCTAAAAACATCACAGAACGGGATACCACGTCCGACACATTTTATGGATATTTCACATCCCACATATTTAGGCCCCATGTGATTCGAAAGATGGGACACCCATCTTTTTAGAGAGGTATTCTGCAACAATTCGGAAGTGAACAGAAATCTGATCACGTATTCTCCTTTTAAATGTTCCGAAAGCAAAACTTTGAATTGTAGCAGGAATTCATCGCTATTCCTTTTCCTGCAGCTCTTTTTGCACTTTTTCTACTAAATAATCGGCTTCTTCAAAAATTAGGTCACCGTAACCACCGTTGTATTGATTAGGAAATGTGTGTGAATGTCCCAGCAGAAAATGAAGGGGGAGCAAATGTATTGTCATGCATTGCTATGATAGATAGAATGACAGTTCGAGTTTCATTCTACTGTGGTCAAAAGATACATAATACTTCACTTAGATTATTCGTGAACTGAAGATATATCATACTGATGGATTTCAGAGACCTTATATTCTTATTTGTTAATTTACTGCGAGTTGAATTCAAACTACGTGACAGTTCATCCTGAAATCTTGAAGACTAAGAAAAAGCCCAAAGCATGTTCTAGGAAGATGGAAGCAAACTGAACAAAACAGATGCGTATCCCAATGCATTTAAAACTTCAACATTTCATTCAGTGACTGAATTAAACAAAATGACTGGGTAATTAACGTCTGCGCCTTGTGCGACCACTTGCAACGTTGCCACCCATTGGAAAAAGCGTCATGTTTCTAAATTGAGAAAACGCTACACCGAACAGTTAATCAATGATTTTGTGGTAGCTGGAAAAAAGAAGTGTTAATTAGGTAAGGTGCTTAATTAGGTAAGGTACTAATAGCTTGATTAATTACAATAATCTATTAACAACAGTCTGAATGACAAGAAATTAACAAAATAAAATTACAACTTTCAACGACAGAAAGTGGCATCAATTTGCGTCACTTGTGGTAAGCATAACATTATCTTCCTCCGGTAACTACTCTGATCCACTTTATAGATAGGGTTTCTTTCCAGGTAGATCGTCCTCAACGCAGATAACTTAGAAAGCTTTAATAACTCGTTCCAATCTGATATTTCATTGTCGTTTAACTGAAACAAAAAAGAATATATATAACTTTGTAGTCCTGAAAGTGAGTAAAATAGAACCGATAGATAATTGATAAAAATTGTTCGCGCAGTCAGCCTGGAAATTCTGAAGTCAGTATCAATTACCATCTACATCACGATAATCACTACTTGAATATCAGTTAACTACATCTGACAAACCAGCAGTATTTCGTTAATATTTACTCTTAACAGTACTAAATGTTTAAATAATCAAACATACCCATATATCTTCCAAATAATCTAAATGAATAAGGCCATCCAATTTAGTTATTTTATTGTTGGCTGCATCAATTATTGTAAGCTTTTTCTGCAAAAACTCTATTTTAGTACGATAGATGGATAAATCCTTATTCGAAGGCAAAATTATTAAAAGTGATTGGGACTATATTTTTCTGTTCTAAACGGATAAAATACTTCGGAAGTATTAAGATGATAATGAATGGATTGATGGATCGCATTAAAATTTAATAAAAAACCTGAGGCGTCAGTTCCATCAAAGATTCAATTCCTTGGTCACTGATATGAAGCTCAGTGAGTTCAGTAAGCATTGAAATGCCACTTAACTCAGTTAAACGATTTGCCTGTAAGAGAAAGCGTGACCAAGTTTCTAAGATTAATAATTCAAATGTCATACGTAAAAATATCAAACCACCAACTTTTAGAAAACCAAGTACAAACCGTCTCCATATAGTGGTTTTCCCTTTATAGAAAGTAAATAAAAATACAGTTGAGTTTTCTTTAAAACGACAACAGAGATGGAAGGTCTCACCGGAGCACTAAGCACAGTAAGTTTGACCAAGTTTTCCAAGTTTTCAAACTTCTGGATTTTGTTTTTACCAATATACAGCTCACGAAGATATTGCAAGTGTCCAATGTTTTCCAACTTCTGAAGAAAACATAATGATAGATTCTATAAAGTGCTGCCAGTGTTAGAAATGAAATAAAGAAATTGTTCGAGGATAAACGTAATGTACCTTGATTCGATTATCGCCAAGTTCAAGCACTTCAAGCTTCGTAAGTGATTCTAAACCATCAATTTTTTCAATTTTATTATGCACCAAATAGATACGCTTCAGATTACACAATGCAGATAAACCTTCAATTTTTCTGATACGATTGTAGCTTAGATCAAGAATTTCAAGATTGACCAGTGAATCGAGATTTGAAATGACCTGAAATAAAAAAATTCCTTCCTTCCAAACAATCTGTTCTCTTCCATCTTTCCAATTTAGTAATTCCAGCCATGAGTAGCTTATATCTTTCAAGGTTAACTTGATATGAATGTACCAATATAAGACGATCGAGATAATCATCTCATAGCATTTAATTAGAATACTACACTACCGTAGCAGGTGAGGAAACAGTTCAATCACCTCAATCTGATTGTCGTATAAATCGAGCTGAGTAAGACTGACAATTGCAAGATGAACATTGAGTGATACTAACAAATTCTGTCGCATGCAAAGTTCCTTTAAAACAAGTTAATGGTCAAAATATATAAATTGCAATACCGCTTTAAAAACTCCATTCATTCAAGCATATTTGCCATATTTCATAATTAAGTAATTAAATCAAATGAAAGGAAATAGATAACACATCTGATGTAGAGCGATGCTTTACCAATAACTGTACAAGAATTGATACAACATATATGCTATCAATAAAAAAATGTATAAGAAGTACAAATATACAGTCTAAGAACATTTATGCTATCAATAAAAATGTATAAAATATACACCAATAGAAAATATATATATGGGTAAGCTAAAAATACCTTCAAGTGGGCGAATCTTGAAAGATCTGGAATAGCGTCTACGCGACACTGACATAGATCTACAGTCTGAAACAAACACTCTAAAGGAAACAAAGCTCAATTACTTCGAGTGATTAACTTAATTCTTACAGGTTTCACCTCCCCTACTGATGATTTATCAGTCATAGTTAAAACCCATCCGCTGCTGAAAAGAACCAACTGAAATACATCTAATGAAGTGAAGAAACGTTAACTCACAGAACGCACAATTTATCCATGTTCTTTGAAGAAACTGTTACCTCTGATTCAACATCAAATTCGTTCAAGTCGAAAAGATTCCGATGTAACCTTTTGTCATTCCCTCTTTGTGCTATATCTGTCTCATCATCCATCGGTTCATTCTCACAGTTAGTATTACCATCACCCGTTGCCATCCTTGAAATTTTATTCATCTCTATATATCCAAGTACAACACCCAAACTAATATGTTCGTATTTTTAACAATGAGGTTACATTACAAATACACGTTTATAATAACGCGAACAATGTAAAACTTGACAGATTAAATGAAAATGTACATTAACATATATAAAATTAAGAAGTGACTTGTAAATCACTCAAACATGCATTTTCAATTGACCGTAAATTTTTCTACATGAAATTCGTAAACCAATGCTACGGATTAAGATTTCTTTTTTGGGAGTAGATTGTGCTCATCTTTCAAGTTAATCGTCAAACTTTTAGCTGGAACTCTTCACATGATATGATCAAAATAACACCTTATCCCATCGTCTAGATTCGAAACTTTGGTATCATAAGCCACCACCAACATTCTTTTTCTGCATACCCTTGAACTGCTCTTTGTGTAACATCGGATAACCACCAACGCTATATAGAAATATTGGTATCATCATCAGGAAACTGAATACGGCAATCGTTCCGGATGCTGGCTTACGGAAAAAGGCTAATCGTGAATATCTATCCAAGACTTTAAACCAAAAGTTTCTTTTGGAATTCCGCATCGTCCTTTCTAATTTAGAGAGTCGATTATTCCTTTATTAAAGTCGTTTGTGCCTGCATAGAAGTTTGTTCGTTTACTATGATTATTTCGTAAAAATGACAAAGCTGATATGAATGTATGCGAAGTTTAGCCGAACGAGATTTCCTGTAAAGCTGGACGCGGAATATGATAACGCCTCATAGTCAGAATCGAAATGAAATTCAGAATCATCTCAGAAAGAACCGTGACATCTTTTCACCACGCTGTACCAGTCCTCCCCTAACCCGTAACGACACGTCGTCCCACAAATCCCACCAGCCTCCAACGATGAGGTGAACGTAAGGGGAAACTATAACGTGGTGTACGTGTATTCTTCGTGATGCTAGAGCTTTATGAAATAGAAACGAATCAGGTAGGTAGACTGCAACATGACGTCCCTCTACACTACCTCATACTGAACATATATATGATTGCTAGAAGGCTGGAACGCTTTTTGCTGGTTAGGTTCGAACCATCCACGTGATTCAGTTGTTATTGGTGACATTTGACAAGGTGTCTGTGCGAGATGATATCCTCAGTGATTGGAATTTCCTTTACTCTCTCGAGAACTGATAGGAATGCATAATGAAACAAAGATAACACCGTCCGTTGCAACTATAATAGCTCAGCACTGGCGAAAAACTTGTCATTTCTCGTTTTATCGTGTTGTACATCAATGATTGGCATTGACTGAGGCACCTGACGTTTACTCTGTTCAGATAATCCCTTTTTAACCTTATGCAAACGTCTTTTCTCTCGATGATAGACTACGACATTTGATCTCATCTCATTAAGCTCTCCATTTTCGTGTACAGAAACGAGAGAAGTTGCAATACTTCCCAGATTTTTTAAATTTTCATTTTCAAAAAAGAATTTCGAATTTTAATTCCCACTAGAAATAAGATACTGTTTTGGGAATCAGAGAGACTAAAAATTTTTAGAAAAAAAAACTGTAACTTACATCTTTCAGTGTATTCAGCTCTGAGATTACGCTTTTAGTTTTTTAATGATTTTTGAACTTCCTTTGTTTTCAACTAGAAAAGCAAAGATTCAGTACATTGTAAAATGATCAAATACAGCTGCATTTTTATAGTAGTTTTCAACAAATGCAACGGTATTTTCTTCATGTTTGACCCATTTCAGTTATTCCACAAAAGCATATACTGTGAAAACTTACTTTCTATTACTTTTACTGGTGGCAATTCATCCACATCTTTTTTAGGAGAGAATTTGGGCATAACTTCTGGAGGCATTTTTGCCGGAATTGGAGGTTCGTCCGTTCTAAACCGATCCATTAATGAAGTACTAATCAATACCCTTCTATAAAAATCAGCCTACCTAACTCACAGACAAGGTTACAGTTAGCAGAAACTTGTGTCAAGAATCCTGCCCATTCTTGTTATGAGAGTATTGAGTCATCACAGGCTTGCAGTCACATTATCAGCTTAGGGCCGCTACTTGAAATTTTCCTTAAAACTCTAAAATCATTTAATTACTAATCATTTCTTAAGGAAGTATTAAAAATCCGAAATCGTCTTACTCATTCACCCCATATACGTATATATTTTTTCCCGAAAATTACTTTGTTTTTCGTGCCGTTATTGGATTTTCGGTTTGCGTTATGGTCTCAATACTTCCACTCTGGAAGATATGAACTTGACATTGTTCAAAAATGAAAGGCACTAAAAATGGGAGATGTCGATACATTCTTGTACCTGTCTGCTGTTCTCTTCTCCTAGGGATTTTATTTCCTCGATTATCGCCGTTTCACCTACCACTTTGTTTCCATAATATCTTATATTAAAGGAAATAGAACGTTTACTGTTGGAAAAATAAATACAGAAATGAATTTCGCATGTTTTAGAAGTAAATTAAATGTGTTAAGGATATAAGATAGGAGATGATAAATTTAGCACAAATAAGTTTATCACCACAACCATTATTTCTCTCTGTTCTTCCACTCAACATAAATCGCCTTTAACATTTTTATCTTTTACTCATGATTCCTCTATTATATTGATATATTTTAAAATTACTCGAAAATGTTTCAGGAAGAAGGCAAGCATACTTGCTCGTCCTTCCATCCCTTCTCCTACCCACCTTCCTCCTCCATTTATTCCTCCAACACATCTCTTTCCAGTCCCTAAACGTAACAATAAGAAATTATTCTCTTTAGTTTTTTAAAAATATTATAGTTTTATGGGACACAAACATGCCAAATCATTGTATGCAAATTCCCAACTTCCAGAAAGGTGCACTTCTACCGATATTATTCTACGGCTGGCCGAATAATTCAATAGTCCTTTTTTCAATTCGCGTGTCCATGGTGCTTTTGCGTATATATTACTGTCGTGAATGCGTGAGAATGAGAATCTGTACAGTATATGAAGCATTTTGCATGGTATGGGGTGATATCATTGAAATTGTTATGGGTAAATATTTCTTCAAACTTACTTTTCCCGTTTTCGTCTTAACAGTGTAATTTTTGCGGTTTTATTTTGGCAATCTTTCTTTCTACTTAGTGAGGAAATAATCGAATAGTGCACTGATTAGTGTATTAATTTATTAATCATTTGGATTAGTCGGAGTTGTATAACAGCTAAATGTTTAATGTTTAATGCTGTTCAATGTTTAATGTCGAAGCTACATACGTCACCATCCGATAGTAATTTATGCGTCTTTTCTGCGAATTTATCCAATTTTGAGTTTTGCTACAGGTAATCAGCAATGGTTGCCGAAAGTGGTGCAAAACAAGGCTTCATTGAGCTTGCTAAAGCAGATACCAGCGCCGACTATGATAAAGCACTGAAAATCGCCAATAAGAGTAAATTTTTGAAATATATTTTGATAAACACTCTGTTCTAGAAGTATCGATGTTTATTTCAATTGGAATTAGTAACTGATAACTAATTAGCTTACCAACCATCTCTTCACCTCCAACTATCCATCACACCATACTCTTGCAGAAACCTGTATTTCATCCAGGGCTTCAATGGTAATTTTAGAAGTGAATTTTTTCAAGGATATTCTTCTATGCTGTTTTCAGTGCTACGCACATATCCAAGAGAAACATTGGCATTTAAATGCAAGCTAGTAGCACTTATACAACTTAGCCGATTGGATGAGGCACTTACCCTGATCAAGAAGACTCCACCTCACCATATGGGGTAATGGTTCCCATATTATTTTATTAGTATAGTTAATCCATTTTATGTTCATTCATTGTATTCTGCCCACCAATGAATTCCATCTGACGGAAATTTGCCGTTCAAGAGTCTAGTAAATTTAATCAGTTCTTGATGTTAAACCTTCTCAACTTGCAGGGATTGCTTGTTTGAAAAAGCGTACGTTTTGTATCGGATGCAAGAGGATGCCGCTGCACTGGAAACACTCGATAAAGCTTTAGAAAGTGATTACCGTTGCATGGAACTGAAGGCACAGTTGCTTTATCGTGCCGAACGTTTCGATGAAGCTTTGAAAATATTTATGTATCTTTTTCTTTATATTTTCAGTGAGATTTCCGACTTCATAACAAGCTTTCAATTTTGTTCTTTCCAAAATTCCGTAACAGATCGATATGCTAGAGAAATTAAAATTTTAGGTTTGTTTTTACTTCTAGGACTCTACTAAAAGATCATTCGGATGACTACGATGAAGAACGTTGCGCTAATTTGATCGCAGCGATTGCGCAGTTGCAAGCAAGTGGCCACCAACAGGTGTTTACATTTTGGCAATATGGCGATTAAATAAAAATGAAAACCAAAATTGTCGATATCGGCTATGAAGAATGTGAATTGAGACCTTAGGCAGGACATTAAAAAGTTGCGTAGTACTGATTCTGATTTATAGAATATCATTTATAGAATAGTGAATTTTTGGCAGTTTTTCAGCAACAACCGTCACATCTGGATACATTCGAACAGCTATATAATGGCGCCTGTCATTTGATTGAATCAGGTGGATATGATCAAGCGTTGAAATTTCTTGAAAAAGCTGAAAGTTTGTTTTTCTCCCATCTCATAGCCTGCTTATTTGCGGATGTTGCATGTTTTTTACTACATTTTATGCTGTATCCTGATTATCCTAACATATGGATGATTGTAATGTTTTTTCTTTTTTTTCAGAGTTATGCAGTGATACTTTAGCAGAGGAAGGTTTGTCAGAGGAAGAAATCGAGGAGGAGCTATCCGTAATTCGAGTCCAAAAAGCGTTTGTTCTTCAGATGCTGGGCAGACGAGACGATGCATTAAAAATCTATTTGCGAGTTCAAAACCTTAAGTTAGTGAAACTTAAATGTCACTAATTTGAAGTTGTTGAAGTTTGGAATTGAAATCTTTTGTTTTAGTTTGTCAGACAAAAGTGTTATTGCTATGGTGGCAAATAATATACCATCATGTCGTGTGGAGCAAAATTTGTTAGAGGCACGAAAGAAGTTAAAAACTGCTCTGCAAGTTGAAAGCTCTAAATTAACAGCTCGACAACGACGTATTCTTTTGTTGAATCAGGTCTTCACTTTTCCAGCTCCTTCCAAAATTTTTTACAAATTTCTTTTACTAATTAAAACTACAATTAGCAGTGGCACCTAGTACTGACGGAAATGGTTAAGTGCAAGTTAGGCTTGATTTCAAATTTTATTTCATTATGGAGTATTCCTCAGTAGGCTAGAAAGTTTCTTTTTAAACTTGATCTAAATTTTAAAAAATTACAAGGACGAGTAAACTGTCTGAGCTCAATATGGATCTTAAAAAACAGAACTCATATAGATCACGTTGTTTTTAACAAATACTTCAATCGTTTTCTTATTTTTCGTTTCCATTAAAAGAACCTTATAACTTTTTAAAATAGTTTAGGCTTTAGTACATCTTTTCTCGAACCAGCGTGAGCCATGCCGTCGAACTCTTGAAGAATTTACCAAGAAGTATGGTTGTTCAACTGAAGTAACGTTGATAGAAGCAGCACTCCATGTTCGTTCGAAAGAGCTCCAAAAAGCACTTACGATTCTCAAGGATGATCCCTCAAAGGAAGCCAGATTGACAGTAGTGCAAATTTTGCTTGATGAAGGTTTGCATACAGCTTAATTCAATCCAGTACTCTTTTTTTCTAGTACTCCAGAAGGTTTGTTGTATTGCTTCTCTCTTTTTGAAATCAGCTGTTTCCTGCGAAAGAAATTTGGAAACTAGCAGAATAAGATGTGTTATATTTAGCATTCACATTACAAACAGTCTAACTAGTTGAAATTAAGCGTTCGACAGTAGCATTATAAATCTTTCAAAATGTCCGTGTATAGCCTTGTTCTACCTTACTTCTTTGTTCTAAAAAAAACAGTATTAGTTGACTAGACATTTCTTACACTGGTTGTGGTTGTGGCTGCCATATAATCGGTGATTTCCAGAATTCAATAATAAAATTTCTTCCAATTTACAGGAAAATTGGAGGATGCCAGCTGTGCGTTGAACGAAGTACCCCCAGACTTGTTTTCTTATCCGGCAATTTTACAACTGAGAGTCGCTCTTCTGTTGGCCACAAACCAACAAAATGTTCAATTATAATCTCTTTATTGCATCTTTTTTAATATCATATAGGGAATCTGACTTTTCATTAATGTGAAGAATGCTTTTTGATTGTGATATTCATGTACTTTTTATTTTGAAAGTTTAATTGCAGTTGGCGCTAGATCTTCTAAAATCTGCCTTGGATTCGGCGAAAAATGAGGATGGTCGTGTCGCAATGCTAGAAGAAATTGCTTCACTCAATATCCAATTAGGAGATCATCGTTCCGCTGCAGAATGTTTCGAAAAACTTTCTGAACTTCGTCCTAATGATATGCAGACAATGTGTTGTTTGATTAAAGCCTATTCAACGTTTAATATACCACGAGCTGAGGAGTTATTGGCGAAGGTATTTCCACAAGGGAGTAATACGGATATTGATGTCGACGTGCTGGAGGATTCGAATTTTATTTTATATGGTGAACGTTATCGTCAGAGGAAAGAAACGAAAGCAGAAACTCCTGATGTTGTTGGTTTTATTTCCTTTTTTTCTTTTTTGATTAGATGAATACAGATGGATGTGGGGGAATTGGGACTGGAATAAGTAGTCTAGGATAAATAGCTTAAAATATGCTCAGCTTGCAGTCACTTCTTTTTTTATTAGCGTTATCAATATACGCTTGAACTTGGCAATCATTGGCTTGGATGCACAATCAGTACTTCTATTATAGCTATTACTAAGACTCATTTATGAAAATCCTTTAAATGTAAATTAGAAATCGTGGGGTTGGGAATACCATAAACACTTTCGTGGTCCGTGTATTGCACTATTTCTACTATTTTTGTTTGTTTAATAACACAAAATGTTTTTTTTTCCAGGAAATAGTTGGTAATAAAAGAAGAGCACGCAGGCGTAAGCGAAAGATCATTTTACCGAAAAACTTCGATCCAAAAGTACCTCCTGATCCGGAACGATGGCTACGAAAACAAGAACGTACAGCATTTAAGAAAAAACTTAACAAAAAGCACCGTGATCGCGATATCGGCCGAGGCACACAGGGAGCAATTAGCTCCTCTCCAAAAATGTTTGTTTTTCCGAACCGTTATGAATTTCTATTCACAGCTGTTGTGCACCACAAGCCTTTTTTTTTGTAGCTTTAGATTTTTCAAATCCTAGATTTTTTAATAGGTTAGGATTATCAGATCATGTTTCAGGGAACCACCAACGACGATGACGACGAAAGCAAACAATTTAACACATCCACCAGGGCCAGTGATAGGTATGGAGGGTCCGCGTCAGCAAAGACCAGCTGGTCAGCAACAAAAAAGAAGAAAAAAAAAACAGGTAACAAATGGTGATTGCAAGAGATATGTCTTGTGTATACTTGGAAATACCATGTTTTTTTTGATACTAAATTTAAAAATCATTTCATTGGGAGATGCTGAACTCTTGTTGAAACAAGTGCATTTCCTATATCATTGCTTTTTATAAACTTGATTTGGTTTAATTTCCGGAACTAATTATATCTTCATCAAGCAAGTCTCGGAAACGATTCGCATTAAATGTTAGGTTTATAAAAAGATATATTTATTAGCAGTTACTTCTCGCTCTGTTATTCCATTTTTGCTTCTTATTATAGTATCTTTAAATCCAACCGTTTTTTAAAGGTTTAAAAGTTTTTTCCTTTTTTTTTGTTTGTGTCACATTTCTGCCATCTATTTGATTGAAAAAATATGGATAGCCTTGAATAGTAAAAGGATACATAAGCTAATTTCTGAACAACATAATACCTAGATTTCAATGCAGTCAAATTTACATGTGTTTAAAATTGCCTAACGTATTAAAATTTTTCATAACAGAAAAGGTGCATCTGTATGCTGAAGATCCAGTAATATATAATATATGCTGAAGCTCCCAGTAATATATAATAATATCACACATCTTGAAAAGAGTAAGTATAATGTTGAACAGTCATTTGATCTATACTCAGTGGATTCCTGAATTGCACAAAAGGCTGCGATATATGAGAAATTGTAGTATTGTTAACTATATCAAGAATCTTAAGGCACCATACAATTGTTGCAAAATGAGCGCCTAATGCAAACACTTCCGCTGTATTGTGTATCCTCCATGACCAACTTGTCGCCTCACCTATAATAAATCATATGTTTTAAGGTGTTGAAGGTCATTTGCATTTTGAATTATATGTTAAAATTTAAAATTCGATACCAATGTTTCGATAGTCTAGCTGTGTTAAGATGTCTGCGAAACGGACGGCGTTAATCATCAACAGGCATGTGCAATGCAGTAAGTTCGCATATAGATCTCGACTAACAACAATCTGAAACGAATAATCGTTGGCTAAAATGATCTAGTGCCACCATCGTATGGGATGTATGGTGTATAGTTGCATTTCATTGAGCGTGAAATGGCTTTTTGTCGTAACAGCTCTGACAATATTTTAAGGAGTTCGGAAATTCTACATAATTTAGTTACGCTTGATATACTAACTGATTGCAATTTACACACCTGATAAAGAGGAAAAATGAGAAGAGTTACGGTAAGAGAAACGTGATAAAGTGAGGTAAGCAAAACAATTAGGGGATGCCTCCAAGAATTCCATATAAATTCATGCATAGTAGCGATAAGCACTCCGGCACCAGCAATCAGCAGAGCCAAACCAATTTTCTGCAATTCATTTTAAATCCACTCATCAAAAGCCTTAAAAATTGTTTAAATCAAATGGAATGATTCTTTGGCAGGCACTACGAGAATATCCGTTACGATCATCCCTGGTCTAAAATTATATAATTACCGATATATCACACATTGTTTGAATTTTTTGATTGCACAGGAAAAATTTTAACTGATAAATTCAATTACCAATAATATTTAACAAATAAATTAATAAAATACGGGAAATTTCAAGCTGACCTCAATCGACTTCTCCAATTTGATAGCCGCCATACTTTTCCCATCAATATTATAGGCACCACGACGTGGATTTATTTGTACCACTCGCCAGATAATGTAAGCCAAGGCACAGGATGCAATAAAAACACAAAAATATAACAATGTTTCGATGAAATGAGATATAGCACCAGGTATAGTCAAATAATTGGTACACCAGGCGGAACCATGATAGAATATTTCACACACTTCATCAGCATAGTATCCATTCCAGGAGAGGTAAAGATACGAGATAAGTAGAAAAGTTGTCGATTGGATGCAAAATAGTAATGTCGTCAGTCTAGAATAAATTCTGAGAAATCTCATGGGAATTTCCTATTACAATAAATTTGTTCCTTTTTCACACTTTAGAATCTTCACAGCAGTATGACCCATCATCTCATCGGATTGTACCATTCTTCAGCAAGCAATAGTTGGAACTATTTTAGGGAATTAGTGTGAAACATACAATGCGGGGATCACGAAGAAATTGACCTCTCTAGCGGAAGCAAAGAATAAGAATGCGGTGGCTAAGGCCGTCAAGAATGGAGTTTTTTGCTCATTGCCATGGAAAACTTTATAAAACGCTTCTAAATGAGTTGATATAATATCGAATGTAAAAAGTCCCATAGAAATTGCGCCTGCCATTACACCTAAAAGAATTCGTTTGTTGCAAATAAATTTCGAATCAAAAAAGGATAGACCCATATTACCGAGCTCATCTCTAGCATTCAGAACCACCAGATTTTGGCCGTACATCGTATTATCGGGAATATTTGGTCTACACATCAGATATGGCTCTGACTACGATCGAATCCTTCCGGGAACATGTTCATTAGTGGAGTTACCCTTGGCTGGTAAACATAAGATACTGTCATATAATACGATAACATACAACACTATCATAAACATATGATACGGCTTGCTTGAATCTCCCGTGAAAGAGAAGTAATAAAACTGAACCTGAGATGAAGAGAAATGTTCTGAACTGGGACGAGAAATTCATGCGAAGTGGTTGTCCACATGAATTGATGAGTATTAACGTTAGGATTATCAACAACAGAATATGTATAATGTCAGCACCTAAACTGACCACTGATAACCAGTCTGGTGTCCATTTCGCAAATGTTGTTCCAGAAATCTGGAACGATTTCAATAAAGTTAAGACTCCTGTTTGAAATTTTTTGAATGAAAACCTGATTTAGCAAAAACTTACCACAGCATTAGAAAACCATCGGTAGTCAATCCATAAATAAGTAATAGTTGGATAAATGCTTATTGAAGAGAGGCAAAAAGTTATTATTCTTGTTGGGGAATTTGTTGGAATTCGTAGCATACACAAAATACCTTAAATGAAAATCTAATCAACAGTTTATCGAAAAACATTTCGGCCATTTGACCATTTCGGGCCATTCACAATAAACAGAGTAAATGATGAAAAATAATGATTTAGCAAAACAAATCAATGGAGAAGATACCAAGGGCGACGTTAAGCACAATCCACAGAGGTTCATCAGTGGTATAATGTACGAAAGTATAACGAATTACATTGCCGATAGAACGTAAAAAGTATAATTCGGCAATCCAAGAAAAAAATTTAAGCACAGAAGTGGTGATAAGGGCACAACCGATTACAGATAATGGTATAGAGTGTCTTTCCATCTGGATATCCAGGAAGCTACGATGACAGGATGAAAGTATCAATAGAACCAATGCTACCGACACTGCACTAAGGACCATATCTACCGTACTGTAGCTAAGCAATCCATACACCTGAAATGTTCATTTTTCTCTTAGTTGAAGGACAAATAAACGATACATATATTCTCAGTAGATAAGTAATGGAAGAAAGGTATGGTGACAGTTAATGTGCGGATATAATTAAGCCATGACAATGGAGAGAAAATAGCCATACTTGTATCCTTGTGAGGAAAACGTTCTTTGCCAATGTACTGAAATCTTTGCAAATAGTAATCACATTGAAAAAATCAGCGATGACTGTAGCAGAACAAATGGCCAGAGCAAATATGTCCACGATGATGGCAAAGATGAATGAAGTAGAGAGGTGAGTGAAGGATGGACAGAGAGATGAAGCGATACCAGCAAAAAGTGATATGATAGTAATCCAGTGGGTATTGATGAAATGTTCTGTATGGTACGACTTCTCCGCTTGGATACAGTCAGCCAAAAAGGCATTCAGAATACTTACAACACCAACAATCGTAAGTACCCGAGAAATCTGATGTACTTTGTCCATGTTTTCCTCACATTTGAAAATTTAGCTATTTCCAATAAAGTGGGGTATATAAGTATCTGTCCGTTACTCACAAAGGAGGACGGTAATGATAAATAATGCAGAAATCAAATGAATTAATCGATTAAGCTTAATTAGCTGAATGAATTTTAAATCGAACTTGAATCGTAACAATGATGAAAAGAATTCAATTATATTTGGAATAGAGCTGGAAGGAATTCAGCAATCAAACTGAAAAACAAATGAACTGAACTGAATTTATAACTCAACTGAATGAGATTTAACCCAATTCGAAATTAAAGCATAAACATCTTGTTACTCAATGCTTTCTAGAAAATTAGTTAACAAACGGCAAAACTTTCCCCGGCTCCATACCATAAACAAGAAGATGAGGAAGTAATTAAATATCGAGAAATTATAAGAGGCCATTTACCCTTCGCACCCGTATTGCCCATAAAATTACTAGTTTGGGTAAAATGTGCACGGCGTGTTGTTATGTCTCTATCATCTACTCCTCTCAGATCCTTCCACTCCTTCTACTATTTACCACAGTTGATATATCGCCGCATTACTCACAACAGGTTCTGAACAATTTACACTTCTTCTCTATACTATCAGACTATCCATCATTGCTAATAACTCTTAATACTTAAAATAGAAAAATTGCAAGTTAAATCCTCCTGTACTTTGAATTGGATGGTTTTATACAATAGCAAGTGAACTTCAAGTAATTAACAGCGCAATTTCAACCTGCATATAAGATATCCATATTTCTTATGAAAGCCATGTCATCTCAAATGCTGCAAAACTGATCAACAGCGACTACTAACCCGTAAAATCAGCTACTTACTCAGACAATGAATTCTTATGATTTGAAGAATTTGACTAGAAATTTTCATTAGCTCCGTTGCTTTTACTTTATATTGCATGCATGCAGCTCATGGTGATAATTCTTGCGCATTTCAATAAATGAATTAATTAAATAACTAAATAAATGGATAAACAAATGAACAAATAAACTAATCAATGTACTACAAGGAGTAAAAAAAGTCGTAGTTAGAAATGTCAGCGACGATGATTGTAATTAACTGCAAGAATCTCCTCTGAAATTGGCGACCTACTTAGCAGAAAAAGACATTTGAATATTATGTTTGTGCACATCGAATGGTTGAGATAAATCTTTTATTTCTGAGTTAAGCAACCACAATATTTGCGAGCAAAGACAATGTCTCTCATGGTTATAAATATCCAGAATTATTTGGATAAATATTGAAGAATCTACCTTGCCTCGTTAGATATTCAGCCTACAATTTTTTCAAAGCAACTTCTCTGAAGAAATATTTTAACAAGAATATATCTTCATATACAGTTTGAACAATCCATGCAAAGAAAACTGTTGCATAAAAATCAAAGAAACCTAGACCTCATAAAATTTCTACACTGAATATAAAATAACCCGAAAAGACTTCACCACACACATCTCAGCAAGCAAGGCCATAAAAAAATTTAAAAAAGTTGATCAGTAAATACAGCATAAATTAAGTTGCATTTTAATAAAAATATCAAATTGAAATGGTAGGCCAGATTCAAATTTACAGTGGACAAAAAATCAATAGGAAGAAGTAATAAACATGTATTTTGATAGAACATATATTGCTGCAGTAGCAGTACCCGCAACTAACCATTTTCGAAGGGATGTATTTGGAAATGACGGTTTTCGTATCCGATTAATATTTATAAGATGTTGATAGTCTTCCATTAACGGACCGCGTAACCGTGACGGAGGAAACATCCTTAAATTGAAAATAATTTTCAAAACAAAGTTTTCAAAAACTATAACAAAGGAATGATTTACTACAAAATGGATACAGATAAATGAATAAATAAAAAATGGATAAGTAAACAGATAAATATAGAAATGGAATAAATAAGGAAGTAAAATATATATTTTTTTACTTTTTATACATATATGAAAAGTGAAGAAATAACCGAAACAGATCTTGCGCATCGTTGATTAATGCTTGGACAGGGATATCATTTGGCATTACATTCAGTAAGTGATGGATAGAAGCCATGTCTCGGGAACAATTCAAAACTGCACTACTTCGCCATAAAACGACAGCAGAAGTTAAAAAAATGGGGGTAAGGGCGTGAGTAGCAAGGAAAAAGTCGAAACAAAGGACAATCTGAAATGAAAGGAACCAGATCACTGAAGTAATTGACTATTATATTTCTTTCCCCTTTTCTCTGCTACCTGCACTTTCATGTTATTTTAGGATTACCTTGGTCAAATTCAGAAAATATAATTGAAACATCAAATAGTCCGAGAAGAAAGGAAAATGGGGCCAAAAAAGAAAGCAGAAGCATGCAAAAATAGCCTGCATTCTTCAAAACTTAAAAATGAAAAGTAACACACTTGGTGGTAGTGATGAAGGGAATGTGAAAACCATGTCAATGGCCAGCTTAAAGCAAACAATGATCCCAGTTCCACCGCACGAACTACTTTTTCCAACTCTTCATCAACTTTCCAGAGCAATACATGCATCAAATCAAGATCTCTCAATACTGTATCCTCTAGTTTTCTGAGAAGGTAACTGAAAATTACGCTTATGGTAACGTTTATAGTAAAAAATATTAATTCCACAAAAAGTATAAACTAAAGCTAACGAAATACTTCTTAATTGAAGATATTTCATCAAAATATGACTTAGCAGTGAATTCTTTTTGATCAAATAGAAAGCAAACCTTCTAAAGATTCCATTATTTGCCAAAAGCGTACCGACATGTTCCGCTTTTTCATTACCGAGCACCAATAATAAGGTCAAACAAACATCATGAAAACCTTAAAACGTGATACATCATACAGCAAACTCCAACAATGTTCAAAACAACCGGTAGAATATTCTTGATCAAATTTAAATATTAAGTAAAAGATAGACGTAACGTAACTTTCGTAAAACAGATTTATTTTGTTCAGCACCATGTGTTGGATTTTCACAATTCAGAATGTTGCAAACTGAATACAAAAAGATTTTATTTACTGAAAGCTTTTTAAAGATAAAACAACGATGAAAAAATCATGAAAAAATAAAAAATCGATGAATAAAGATAAGGAAATCCTTTTACGTAAAATGACTTATTAAAGAAAGTCCTTTTCAAATGATTTCCATTACCTTGGTAATAATGAAATCGAGGACAACTCCAGAGAATTCTCACAACCAAAGGAGTCAAATCTTTTTGCAAGGTACATCGTTCCTTATCTGATATATCAGGTGGAAATCGTGCCAGTGTGCGTTGAACATCCATTTGTACTTGGTTCCATTCCCGATGACTTTGCAAATCTTTCAACGTTGGACTTGACAACTAAAATACTGGAGTGCCGGTGTTAATGTACTAAATAAAACTGCTCTTATCGAAAATATTTACTTCTGTTTTTGAACTGAAAACTGCCTTATTCATATCAAGTGTAACTTGAATTTCATTACTAATAACATATAATCGTGCCAAAACTAAAATGTTTTCATAGTTTACACCTGTTTATGATTAACCAAATTGAAAAAGTCCAGCTTTCAGTAGTCCAGTTTCCAGTTATTCAGCCAAAAGGACCCCTTATAGATAACAAAAAAAGTAAAAGCCTTACGACAGTCCTAAAACATGTATCACAAAGCATTGAAATGAAAAGCACGGTTAATTCTCTTAGCGTTTAATATCTTCATAAACATTCCACACTGCTGACATTCATTTCCCAATAAGTTTTAGAAAAAAAAATCGAACATAATTTCCAATCAAAGAACTATGTAAACGCTAGAAATTAATTAACACTCGCAACTTTATATCTAAAGGTCTGCTTTTTAGCACAAAAAAATACCTTTGCAGTTTTTAATATTGTTCCCTAAATTGCATCTGGATCAAGCAAACAACTATTACAAATGTGCAAGAATTTACAATGGTAGCAGAGTTAATCATGGAGCTGTCTTCTTCATAAATGAAATCAGAATGAGCAGATTCAAAATCCGAATCCGAAAATGTTGACGCTGTCTCTTGATCACTGAACGAATCCTGCACCAGTGAAGATGCCAGAACTGGCCAAATAAGGGTACGGATTTCATCCAGGACTAAGCCTAGGACAAGATACATTGATTCTTATTTAGCAAGTGTCTCATCAGTGTTTATCGAAATCTACGAAAACTTTTTTGTCTTAAAAGATCTGAGTACTCATGGGACATGTCACAACGAATTAAAATAAAAAGTTGAATGAAAACGGGTTCCAAGTGAATACGAATATATTAAAACAATTTTAACAAGTATAAACTATCTTTGGCCACTGGATATATACTACAGTATTTAACAACACCGTAACAAACAACGAATTTATGAAAACTGCTGATGATGCAGATATGAACTTTAGAACATACTAGAAATCTGGGAGAGACTTTTGAAAAATCTTAATACATCGATCAAAGCGTATACCACCAGTAGATGAGGCGAACTGTCGTAACTGGCTGATGTGTAAATGCAACGAGTCATGGTTTTCATCGATAAATGTCCGCATGCGATTGCATTTAATTTGTAACGTCCGACTAACTGCATTTTTTAATACATTTTCATTCCCTTCATTTCTCTGGAACATCATCTGTATTAGTAAATATGTACATACGAGGTGATAACAGGTCATTAAACAAAGCTAATATATAAAGGCATAACGGAACGGAACTGGCGCGATATTAAAAATACAAGTAAATCAATGAACCGTAACTATTCTAACACATACCCCAATCATTTTTCAATTTGAACTCCCATGTAAAATTTAGAATGACTGTCGTGATTGCAATAAAAATGCATTAAAAATGTTTTGAAATATGTCAGGAAGTATCCATACTTTCTTCGCAATAATAAAAGATGTAGAATAATTGGTGAGTGAAGGCATATCCTTGATAATATCGAAGTGTTACTGCAGTAAATAATCCCAAACGAGATCCATTTTCGAATCATATAATACAGTACTCATACAGTAATTAACCACTTGTATTCGCTGAATGAGAGATATCGAACAAGAAATAAATCCTGAGACCAAACTAGCACTATAAAATAAATATTACGAAATTCTAAACATCGATGCGATCAAAAGCTACACCAGTCACGGGCAACAATTCATAATAACGTGAAGCAGCAATCTAAGAAGTATCACCCTGTCTGAAATAAGAGAATGCCGAGGAGCTCTTCTGTTATTCGTTGTTCTGATGAGGTGGATATTATGCAGGCATTGTTTTATTCTTAATTTATCTAGAATTTACTAGTCGATTTTAGACTTTCTAATTGTTCGCCGCGAGTTTCTGTGTAATTACTTAATACTTAAGAGCAGTCTTACTTTTCAACACAGCGTCAACATAAGTGAATACTTTACATGCTTACTTGTAAAAAATACCCTTTTCATTTTTCATTATTTTATTCAAAATTTTTTTGAATTTTCTTTGAAAAAAGTCAAAGTTTTATTAAGAAATAATGAAATAAGGCAGAAGTCATAATAACAATCTTTGTTGTCCGAATGTATCGAACAAACATTTTATTAAACATTTCGTCCAGCAAGATCATCCAATCAAAATTTATTTTCTTACTTCGTACTAGTAAAACTCGATAGCAACATCTTTTCTGTATTTCTTTTCTGTTTTAAATAATTTACTAATATTTAATTATGTATTATCTACTAAATTATTAATAAGCAACTTATTAATGTTGTTAATGTTTAATGTTTTGATGATAGCAGGTAATACTTAATTACTTATGGTAAGCTCCAAGTTCGACGGGTTTTGGGAGGTAATTCCGATATCCACCCTCCCGTCAATTGGTAGTTGAAATCATGGATACCGCATGTATGTCCTTTATATAAATTGCTGATTTCTGTACATGTACGACTTTGCAAAATATGGAGTAGGAAATGAATGAATAAGATGAATATATTCCTTTACAAAAATTTTTAATGGGAATATATTTCTTATAATAAAATTGAAGGTATCTTGGCGAAAATCACGCAATTTAGCCTCAAAATTTAGATCATTTATATAGTGTAGATGTCCTTACCAATTCCGTTTTCATTTCTTACTTGGTTTAAGACTTATTCTAAATGTTTGTCCATGTGCGAGCTTCTTTCTTGACGTCAACTTGGTAAAAGATTGATCTTGCTAAGATTGAAATTTGTTATTTCAAAGTTTCTAATTTATTCAATTTCATCCTCCAGACAATGCATCATCAGAGATTATCATCGTTTTGTAATAATTTTCTGGTGTGATTCAACGGTAATTAAAAATTGCATGAATTATGAGAAATTTGAAATGTTTTTAATTCAGAAATAGAATTAAAATATTAAATAAATTTTAATTTTCGAGTATCGCCATTTGAAGTTTTATAGTGTGAGACTAGGTACGGAGCGGCGTTTCAGTTAATAAATGCACAATGAATTTCAAACAAAGACTTTGCATTAGCATTTCACCATTTTACATAGTTGACGGATACCCATGCAGCTTTCTTCTTGAATATCTGTCGATCTTTATCAATCGTTTCATTATTGGATATTGGTACAAAATGATAAAATGTTGTCAGAAACGAATTATTATATTTACAGAGTTCATATTTTTAAAACTTCCTGAACGAGATTTCTGTCGACATGGCACCTAATTTGATTTTCCGTCAGGTTAATAGTCTTTCGAGCAAATTCGACCGATGAACTGGAAAAATAATTGAAAAAAAGTACTTTGACATTTTGAACAACTTAGATTGTCTAAGTTGATTCAAATTTGTTTTTTTTTTTCAAGAATTGCTTCGTTTATTAATCAAGAATTTCCAACCCGGGAATAATGGCCAGATTTCATGATCTATGTAGTTTATGCAACATATTTCCAACTTAATTCATTTTCATTTTTAGCTATTCGAACCTGTATCATGTACCTATACATACTTGTTGGGGTGCTTAGTGACTAGGAAATCGATAATAATAGATCCTGTGTTGGAAACCGTCGAACGGGATGTAAAGGTAATTGATGCAATTCTAGTTTAGCCTAGTTTTTGATCCGGAAATTGTTGAACATCAATTAGATCGAAAGATTCTGTTCCTTTGCCAAATTATTTCACACTTAAGCAAACTAAATGAAATACAGGAACTTAAATTTAAACCATACGAAATACAGAAACATAAATGATCAGATTTTAGCTTATCAGAGAGCTCAATTTGGATCCAATATATGGTGCTAACACGCATGTTCATGCGGATCATATTACTGGTACTGGCGAATTGAAGCGTATTTTTCCACATATGCTTTCTGTGTTGTCGAAATATGGTAGTGGTCACGCAGATCTGCGGGTCTGTGATCGAGAGATACTGAAGTTTGGCAATCAAAATCTAGAAGTTCGTACGACACCAGGGCATACTAATGGTAAATACGATTTAGCGTCTTCGAATCATACGCACTTCTGTTGTAATTCATAAGTAATTATCCTCTCCTGGTAAACTTTGGTCAAACTATTGGGGTGTATTTTTCAATTAAAGTGACAGTTAGTTTTTCGAAAGTGATATATTTTTATTGATTCATCTTGTCATTATACTACATGGTAAGTTAACAGAAGTTCTACTCAGTTAGATAACCTGTTGATCTTTCCTTCAGTAACGGGTTCTAATCTGTGCTCAATTTTTTTTACAAAATATTTTCTTTAACAGGATTGAAGGGTGATAATCTCAATTCGTGAAAAAATGTTACTAACAAAAATGAGTTGGCATATTAGGTCTGTCATCAGCTAAAAAGCTGGAAAATTGGAAATTTTTCGAGAAATGATGGAAAAAAATAGATGATGTTTCGAACTTACTGAAAGAAAGATCGCTGGCGATCTAATTAAGTGAAACTTTTCTCTTATTATTTAATAGCAAGATAAGTGAATGTATAACTTGAACGGATTTTTTTACATTTTGGCAGCGTTCGCTGTGACATTTCACGACAGAAAAAAAAATCAATAATAAGATCGAGTTTGAGTCCATTTAATCGTTTCGCAACTTTCTTCATAAAAAAAAGTCTCTCCACACAATCTTTCCTGTCTACCATTTCTAAGTATATAATACAAACAGATGAGTAATGTTTTCAAGGATGTGTAACGTATATTTCATATGATCATCGGATGGCTTTTACGGGAGATGCACTTCTTATACGAGGATGTGGACGCACAGATTTTCAAGAAGGCATGCTTGCTTTTATGTATTTCTTTCTTAAATTTATGCATATGCACACTTCTTAAAGTGCATAACATTAAAACTGTAAGTCAGGAAGTCTGTGCGTGTTAAGGAAAACATTTCTCGAGTTAGTCCAGAACCATAGGAAGGAAGTAGTTAACCTATCCAATTATGATTCCCATTTAGAAAAGCCATCTTTCTACAAGATATTCAAATTGGTTCTAATTTGCCAGTTTTTTTTCTAAATAATATAAATCTAGCGGTGTTTAGATAAAATGTATGCGTGCTTCTTAAATCTATGATGACTAGTAAAAACAATCTCTTCCTCTCACGAGGTTCTAGCTCTTTCTAGTGAACTAATTTAACTTACTGAAATAGGATAAATAAGAATTTTGTGGAAGTTATGGATGGAATTTGGTGAAGAGTATCAAAAGCATGTATTGAAGACGCGTTTCAGTTAAAACTGGGTAGGCACAAAGTATAAATTTTCGTTTGTTGAATTAAAATCCAATGGATAGGTATCAAATAAACTCCCTTCCAAAATGATATAGAAGATCAGCTAGAAGAAAAACATGCCTGGATTTTAAGTCATGTTTGCTGTTTAAGGAAATCGATGAAAAGGATAAAAAATGGATTAACATATCCATCTTGAATGAACCAATCTGTCTCTGTGTCCGGATCTTCCTTATTTCTAGGTTACAGGCTCTTTACCAGTTGAACTGCCACCAAAGGGAACTAGTAATCACTTTGACCATTTTCACTGAAATATTTATGTTTTTCTTTTTTTGATGTTACACAATATGCTAGAAGTTCCTATTGGTGTTATTTACAGGAAGTCCAGAGGAGTTGTACAATTCAGTGCACGAGAAAATCTTCAGTTTACCTGATGATTTCATTCTTTATCCAGCTCACGACTACAAGGTATTTTTGAGATAGATCAGTGTTTTCAATAGCTAATTTACGAAACAATATTTTTGATAATAATAGCTCACAATATTCAGTATCGAAACATTGGGGCAGTTGAACGTGTGTTTTTCCTCATAAAATTATCTGCGACAACGCGGTGGAAATTTTTAAGTGTTTCGTTTAAAGCAATAGAAACAACTGAAATAAAACAATAGATATTAAAGGAAGAATGCGAATTAAAAAAATTGCCGAATGTTTACAGGGCTTTTTATTAACAACTGTTGGTGAGGAAAAGAAGTATAATCCAAGGTTGACGAAAACTTTAGGCGATTTTGTAGTTCTGATGAAAAATCTTAAGCTTGCATATCCGAAACAGATCGGTCTGTTCTCTTTTAATTTTCTTTTTTTTTTTTAAAGATCAAAGTTTGATTATACAGTGTTTCTTCCTTAGACGAAAAAGAAATTTTAGAATTGACGGGGATTTCCACTATACAAGAATTAATCGTTGATGGAAAAAGCCGAAACTATATTACTTTGTTATAAGATTAAGAAACAGGTGGGATCTAATAATGAGCGTTATTCAATGTTGATAACTGTATGAGTGGTAAGGCATTACACAACCTCCTCTTTTCGCAAGAGTGACATTTGGCGAGCAACGGTCCATCGTATTTAATTGTTTTGTTTGGTCTGTTCAATGAACAGTTCAGATTACCGTACTATAATTTTAGATAAAGCATTACCGGCGAATAAAGTATGTGGAATGTACGAACTAGTGGATGAGAAGACAAAAGTAGAAGAAAATGAAAAGAGCTAATGAGAATATCTCCCTCTGTCATGTTATAAGCTATTCATATGTGCTATCGGACGAGGTATCCCACAATGTGATCTTATTCTCCAGAAAAGATGGAAATACAGAAGAAATGAGCACAACCTCATCTTAAAGAGGATTAGGAAATTCCTGTTGCGGGAATCTTTTGAGGGAGTATTCTTGGTGTTGCCTCATAGATGAAGAATTCAGCGAATCTAGACTCAACTCTTCATCTTTACAATAGAAGTAATTACTTCTGGCGATATATCATTATACTTTTTGTCATGCGAAATGTAGATAACTAAGCCTCTTCGTATCTTTGAAACGGACGTATCACATTATCATGTACTTATCTCATTGTAATGCTGAAACTGCTGTACTGTTATCATTTGAAAAAAGAAACGAATGCTTGCTGGCATATTTATCCAAATAACTACTTCGAAATAAAATCAGAAGAAAGCTGAAGCTACTAAGCAGTAGTCTAGATCAAAAAAGCCTCTAATCAGTACTAGCTTAGCCTCAGCACGATTTCTATGTCGTTGGGAGTGGGTTTAAGTACCGCATAATGCAGTACATCAGTTTCTTGTTGTTGTTCTTTCATGTCGTCCAGTTTTACATCCATTTCATCTGCTGTAAAGAATACACTTCTACGTATAAAACCGCAGAAACCGAATTGGAGAGATGTGAATTGTACAAGAAATATAAATAAACACATTTCATTTTCTATGTCAATATATCGTTTGTATATATCCTGTACTGTTACGTCCACTTCGATATCTCGAAGCTTATCAGTCTCTGCATTTCTGAGCTTACAGGTCCTGACATCCGACTTTTATTCTTCATTAGCACTTGGTTGGGAATAAGAAAAGTGAGCTTTTACTTGACAAAGTCACGCGATCATTTTTCTCACTATCAAGTGCGTGGGTAAGTATTAATTTGCAGAAAGCTTGTCGGGCTGGACTGAAACTGAGGGGTACTTCGGCGATGGATATTTTGTTGCAAAAATCTTAAATTCAGTTGATGTTCTGTTGGTTACATTGAAGCTTACCTGGTTCACCACTGTCTGTTTGTTGGTGATCAGCTGATGACCCGTATGTCTTTGTCTAGGAAGATGAGCGAAATAACGTCTTCAATTGAAAAAGCAGAGGTTGTCTCCTGGCCGAGAAATAAGTTATGTGAGGAAGAAGACAAGATCGAATTGCTTAGATTCGAAAGGAACGTTATGCTCGACACTTACGCCGATGACGTTCTTTTCGTCCTTGCCGGGTATGTTACTTTCACTGCTCATTAGGTGATCTTCAATCCAATTCTAAACTTTTTTTTTCTAGTGGTCTGGGGCTGGAACGTTTGGTCTTTCACCATTTACATTTATACTGTGATCCGCAGCTATTGGTATTTGTTATCAACACAACTCCACAGGATGATGTTAGTAGCTTTCAAAAATATTTCCTGCAGAAGAGGTCACTTCCAAGTTATTTCTAGTATAAAAAGTTCTTAAGCTATCGATGTCTTTCTGCATTTCATTGCAGTCTTTCAAATTTGGGTTTTTGATTTATGATGGCAGTTTTGTATCTTAGAGAGATGTATACGTTTCACAACACTGAGTTCATTCTTAGCAACAGATAAGGCTCTCGAACAGTAGACCAGTAATTGACGTATACAAACTACTTGAAGAAACTGTAAAATTTCAGGCATATTTCCTTTCTCGTTTACGCGATTCCAAAGCGAAATGCCCTCCAAAGATCATCACAGCGGATTGCTCCATAAAAGATCGGTCAGTCTCTTTCATTTTCTGTATAGAGTCGCGGAACTGGAATAATAATGATACAAAACTTATTATCAGCGACATATTCGTTTTTTCTTCAGAGTTAGCAGACCGTGGCGGATCCTTTTTCTCTTTCACATAATTTATTCTTTATCATACATTGTTTAGGGAGTCTCTGTACATGGAAGGAGGAGTATATTTCATTACCTCACGGATTCTGATGGTTGACTTCTTACAAGAACGCATCCCAGTGAAGAATGTGGCTGGAATAATTGTCCATCGTGCGCATCAGTCTGTTAATTTCCTGATCGGTTTTGCAGTGGAAATTAGTTTGCTGCTTTTATAATTTGTTACAAGTGGGATATAATATTTGTTGGAACCTTTCAGGTTGCTAAATGGATTTCAAGAATCATTCATTCTTCGCTTATATCGAGAAAAGAAGACGGGTGGTTTCGTTAAGGCATTCAGGTTACTGGTTTCACAAATTTTGCATTGCTTATTCAAGTTCTTTATTGCTGAACAAACTAAACTGCATTTGTTTCTCAGTGACAATCCGGGTGCACTATCTGGTATGGGCGTTTTGCAGCGGTTGTTAAATCGATTATATATTCGAAGAGTTAGGCTTTTGCCAAGATTTGATGTAGATGTGAAAGGTTCGCTAGACCCGTGTTCCGTAAGTATTTAGTATATATTAACATTCATAAGAAGTATATATTAACAACATATATATTAACATCGTATGTTGACATTCATGAAAACGTACTTCACATTGAAATTCGTTTTTGTTTTGTGAGAAGAAAAATCTCACTGATTTGATAAAGCGAATTTTCTATTGATTTTCTCTTTATATTTAAGTGCCCCAAAAATGTCCCTGCACTGAGTTATAATTAAATACTTGAATGTGAAGTGATAAAGTGAATTAGAAAGTTGATTTCTAGCCACATATGATAGAAATATCACTTGACTTGCCGCATGCAATGCGAAGGGTTCAGTCACTGTTGGTAGACATAATACGTACTTGCGTTCGAGAACTTAGGCAGGCTTCACTACCCACTGATGTAAGTTTCCAAATAATATATTAGAACTTGCATTCCCCACTTATTGTGGAAAATTCGTTTATCTTCACAGTAGTTATAGGATACCCCAGAGGAAGAAAGTATACAGCCAGCTGCAGGTCTTTTGCCTTCCTCACTAGAAATACAGTTAAAAGGACGACAGTTTTCCATCACTGAAAAACAACAACGCCTTTTAGCTGATCTCAAACAACTTCGGAATCTTTTATACAAAGTAAGAAATACAATACTTTCGTGAATGAATATTTTTTGAGCTCTTTTAATAAAGTTTATAATGTAACTGCCGACATTTTCCAGGCTGAAGAACTGGATCCGATTACTCTTTATTGCTGTTTGGATGAAGTTAGAAATAATAAAAATGTGAGTTTCAATATTAGTTCGAGAAAAATTTTTGAGCGAATTAGATTTCTAACTGAAGCGGTCTTTGATGCAGCTCAGTTGATTTGGTTTCGGGTATCGTAATGGTCCCGAAGTTATTTGTTGCAGTTCAAGATTTCCAAAAAGTGTATATTGATAATCCAAATGAAATTTTCTAGCTGATTACAACTAACAGTGGTTGGTTATTCACACAGACATCTTCGAAACTATTTGCGGAAGTAGACAAGTTGTGTAGAATTAAATCTAACACTAAACAAAGTGTATTGGGTAAGTAATCATTTTGATTTGCTCAAGCTTTTTAGCGACTGTTGTCGAAGTTGTTGAGATCCAAATGCAATACAACCGTCCTTAACTCCCTTGTACTAGTTTTTTAGTTCTTATCTTTACTGCAGCATACGCATACCAACTTTTCGAGTCCAGCGGAGCGATTGATTTATTTGTATTATTATCACTGCAATCATCTTTTGCTGTAATATAGAACCGAAAGAACTTGTGGATAAGAATAAGATCTGAAGATGAAATTTTCAGAACCACCGAAATGGAAAGCACTTCTTAAAGTCTTAGAAGAGATCAAAATCAATTATAAACTGGACAAAATGAATTCTGAGAGAGGTACGCTATTATTTGCAGCATACAGGTTTGGTGGTTAAAATACTGTATTTCAAAGCTCATTGAATTGCTCTCTTCAAACTTTTTCATTTGAATTACTCTGTTTAAAACAGATGTCCCTTCTTAAAGTGCTTTTCAAAGTTTCATGAATTGTTTCTAGAACCAACAGTGTTATTAATTGGTGCAGGAAATGAGGTGTGTCGACAATTGCGAGACATCATTAGTTGGGGTGTAACAAAATTTTTATGGATCCAGAATGAGAAGCTGGGACAAAAGTTCATTGGTGAAGAAGGGAAAACTAAACCGGAGGCACAGCCTTCATGGGATCCTTCACAAATTATTCTGTTTGCCAATAACATCGAGGTTAATCATTATACAAGTCCATGTTTTTTCTCTTTCCAATTTTAGGGCAGAACTCCATGCTTTTCATCTTTTATTTATAGGGAGAAACAGGTAGCGAAATTGTGAATAATATGAAGGCATTACAAAAGGAATTCACTCGACGGAACCGAAAAAGGCGTCGTTTGTTTGAAGAAGTAAAGACGAAGCATAATTCAGGCAAACAGGCTCGACTCATGCGTTTCGGCATAGTGCAACTTAAAAAGATGACAAAAGTTAGTTCTGTTGCAGTGTATTTTGAGGATCTCAGCCGTCTCCGCTGTTGTTAAGGTTTCATTTCTTGATTAATATGGTCGTGTTCAAATGTTTATCAGAAGTACTGTCATCTTTTTTTTAGAACTTTATTAACTCCTATTAACTATATTAGTTAGTAAATCGAGTAAATTGTTTCAAAAATGCTAAACTAACTTCACTGTAGTTCGTTTTTCTAAACTGAAACTCTTATAGGCAGAGGAAAATGCATGTACCACTAGTTTAAATGTCGACGATGTTCAGTCTGGACGTCCGAACGATTCAGAAGGCGTTGAAAGTCAAGATCAAGATCCCCTCCTAGTCATTGTCCCTTCTGGTGAGCGATACAATCTCATTAGACAGTTGGAAACCTTTGAACCACGAATTGTTATTCTTTACCATTCCGATATGATATCCCTTCGGCTACTAGAGGTGAAGCATTATTTTTGGATTCTTTATTCTTAAAGTCAAGTTTTGATTTCTTCAAGTAAAATTTTTTAAATTAGAATTTGCACATGAAAGGAATATAATTTTCCGAGTCTTGAATAAATGCGAATGAACTGAAATGACATTTTTCAGAATCATTTCGAACAATCTTAATAAACCTATACTACATGTATTTGGTTAATTATGCACCGTTGCAGATGTATAGAGCGTGCCACTCTGATAAACAGTTAACAATATATGTTATTATGTATGCGAACTCAAATGAGGAAGAACGATATCTCTGCTCATTAAGAAAAGAACAAGTTGCCTTCGAGGAAATGGTCCGAGAGCAAGGGGTATGCCTGATTGTGATAATTATCTTCCGGAATTTACCGAAAAGTCTAATTTTATGTATCTTTTTCAGATGCTGATGTCTGCTAAATTTGAATTATTTTCAGACGCTGATGTCTGCTAGGGAATATGAAACAGATCGTGAAGAACCGCACAGATTGATACTTATGAGATCAACTAGGGATGCTGGTGGAAGAACTGACCAAAATGAAGGAAACCCGAAGGTGAATTTTTTTCACTTTGTCGAATTTCAAGAAATATTCACCATATGGAGCGCTTTTAAGCATGGGAACACAATTAATGTAATATCGCTGATATGAGATTACTTTAGGTGATAGTTGATATGAGGGAATTCCAAAGCGAATTGCCAACAGTGCTTTACAAACGAGGTGTAGATCTAATGCCAGCTACAATCGAAGTTGGAGATTATATTCTGTCGCCAAACATAGCCGTTGAAAGAAAAGCCCTCGATGATCTTACTCAATCACTTCATAGTGGTCGCATTTTCAAGCAGATTGAACAGGTCTTTTTATGAGTTATTGTTTTTCGAATTAATTTCTTAGGCGTATTTTCCAATACTACTGATTTCAAAAAAATGTCAATTTCTGAAATTCAATCTGTTACAAACAGTTCTCTGGATTTTTCATTAAATTAACGTTTGCGTACCAGTAACTTTCTTGTTATTGATTCTTTAACATCACGTTTTAGATGTTGCGTCACTACAAAAATGTAATTCTGCTTATTGAAGCAAATGTCAAAGATGATTACAAAAAAGTTAATGGTGGTCCCTTCCAGGTAAGCTTTTGGTCTTGATGTTATGTCTCACTTGTTTCTCTAATCTCCTAGAACATCGTAGCGTTCACGGCAAGATTTTAATCAAAATCAGTCTGAATTATTTTTGTTGTTGATGTTTAGTTATCCCATTATTTTGGAAAAATAAGGGAAGACGATAATTCATAGAAGGGAAGACAATAATTCATAGTTCATTGAAAATTGAAGGGCGAATTAAGTCGTCGCTGTCGTGAAACACGATCTCTTTTCACAATTTTGGTAAGAACATATCCAGATATGAATGTTATTTGGACTTTGGATCCTGCGCATTCATCTGAAATGTTCGAGGAGCTAAAAGTAATATATATATACTTCAGTTATGTCCCTATTTTGTAATTTACGACTGCTTGTATGACTATTTGAAGTATGGTATATTTTGTATTTGTATTTGAAGTATGGTATATTTTTTTTGCGATTCAGAACAAAATCTTTAGTGAATGTTAATGAATTGTTCAATAAATTACCACTAATTCATAACCAAATTCTAGGTTTTATAGTTAAGAAATATATTATACTTTCGTCTTGGATGTAGTTTACTGTTTTACAGCTAAATGAGCCGGAACCGAATTTGCTTCAAGCACTGGCAATTAAAAGTGATCTCGATGAATGCGCTGATGCATCTAACTCAGAATCTTAGGTTTTTTTTTTTTTTTTTTTTTTTTGGATTTCGTCAATATGCTCGAAAACGTAAATAAGGGATTCGGTTGTTAGACATATTTGTCCTACCAATTCCATTGATAGTTGTCGTGTCATCAGGTCAGATTGTTCTCCACTCGATCTATTATTTTTTTGAGAAATCACGTTGGAGAGACAATATGGATGAAATTTTGGCTAATATTACCAAAATTGTTTTCCTTTCCTACTTCGAATACACGATCGTATCTGAATCTTTTCTCTTAACTGTCGTTCTCAGTTATTTAACTTTTCGATTAATATTTGCTTTCAAAATTTTTCATCCACAGCCAACAGACAGTTTAATTCTTTGTTCCTTAAAACCTTCCCTATTACTAACTTCTTGTACTATTTTTTTCAGTTTCGCTGTCATTTTCTTAATAAATCAAAATTCACCTTTTTTACTGGTTGAATCTACATAGGTGATAAGGCCATATCGAAGCATTCGAATTCTGTTTTACATCGGCAAATGACACGTCTGCCAGGTATTTCGAGTGGTGAAGTGACGCGACTGATGAAATGTGGGAAAATGAAATGTTTATTGGATGTTGTTAACAGTGATACAAATGAACTTGCAAGCGTTCTAAACAACAAAAAGCTAGCTTCTTCATTGCATTGTTTTTTCAATACTGATTTCAAGTTGAAAACGTTAATGTCGTAATATTCATTCCTTCGTTTGCTAATTTTTGGAAAACGATCTTTATAAGATTTAACTTGGATGAACTCATAAAAACTCTTGAAGTAAATGCATGAAAAAAACCGGTGAAGTAGAACCCTGTAAACAAATCTATGGGAACTCTATTCTTTTCTTTTACTGTTTTATGTTGTATTCCTCCGAAATTTCTTGTTCTTCTCTCACTATCATCTCTTCCAATGCAAAATCGATCATTTACTGATAATACTGTACATTGAATTTCTAAGAACTTTGGCCGTTAAGTTTTCGGTTTTACTTAGTTTCCATTGTTTATACAGCCGTATAATTGTTTTTCACAGAATTCATATCTTCAAACTTATGTTCATTTGTTGGATTATTTCGTAATTTGTATTCAAGTTTTGGTTTACAATTTCTTATACTCGTGTTGACTTATACAGTTCTACTCGAACGTTTACTTTTTCGTTGTACAGTTCAGCAGTAACTCCATCATATCGAAGCGTATATATAGATTGTAATTTTACTCAGCGTGCATGTATTGGAAATTACTTGACTTTTGATAAAATGGTTTGTTTTTATAATAATCTTATTGAAGTTTTATTACATTTTTTCTTATCATATTGGAATATGCACAGAATACGCAGTGGGTTTAGAAATTCGAAAAATTACGAACATTGATCTTTGTCTTCATATACTAAGTCTTAATGCATATGAAACGCTGATATGAGCAAAGTTTGTTGACTTTTATTGTGTTATCTGTAATGTTTATTCTTCATATGGTTCGATTACTCAATTTATTAGCAGTACTTTGCTTTTTACCTCAACTTTCAACTAACCAGTAATAAATTGCGGAAACTTTTATTTTCAGTCTATAAGGAAATTGATTGTTTTTATATCTCCATATTAAATGACTAACTTTCAACTGCTAATGAAAAATTCTATGCTGGCAGGGAATTATTTATAACATTAGCAGATGCTAAGTGTAGCAATAACAATAGATAATTGAAAGAGTTTAGTGATCATCTGTTGTTGTTTTGTTATTAAACAATAAAGATATCTAGACGTTATTCCTGACTACCTTTCACATATCCCTTTGAGCGCTACCAAATTGAATTAGATCCTGAGTCTCTCGCTGTTGTATCTACCTATCTGTTCATGAAATAAAATCGCAGTAGGTGTAGTTTATCGTGTGAACGCAAAGAAAAGATTTCTATGAGATTTACCTTATTAATGCAGTATCTCAGGGAATGAGCCTTTCCCCCATTCACCACGCGAATTGTTCATTTCAAAAATAATCTATTAAATAAGTAAAATGGTAAAAATTAATTTGGTCCTGATTATATTCTTTTGATTCTAATTATAACTTTTAGTTTATTTTAATCCATGTTATGTTTTTTAATTTTAACTATACTTTAAATTTTAATTATGTTTCGTTTCTTGCTGAGCTCAAATTTCTTTTAACCAACATTGTCTGAGCTGAATGCATTATACACGATTTCGGTAAGGAAAAAAAAATCCTAAATTGATGATAATCATAATGAAATTTAAATCTGGAGCATATCATCTCACAAAAGTTCTCCCTTTTAGAGACTTGGTAGTTTTAATTTTTCAATAAATTATGATAATTAATTGTGATTAATGCTATCCCTCCTCCGGTTTATGTTGTACATACCCACTCTAGAGAGAAATCTTTGCGCTGAGTAATGCAATTATTATACCTGCAATCACATTCAATTTCTTCTTTTTTTTTTTTTTAAAGCACTCTTGGAATTGTAGAACTGATATTTATTATCGTTGAAAAGCTCAGTCGTTCTCGTATTTTGAATTGATGTTAATAGACATGTCAACAAAATTTTCTATTAATAAGAAAATTACTTTTGCTTTTATGTTGGTTTTCTGCATTTTTTCCTCCATCTTTTTTTAATATTCAAAATATTCATTTCAATTTTTAATATTCAAAGGGTTTTCTTAAGAAAGCAATCATTTCTTTAATCTTCCCAAATTGTTTCATATATTTTGTCAAATATTTTATGGAAATTCCTGCAAAATATGAGGAAGATATGGGACATGATTTCAAAATTGGAAAGTTGAGGATTTGAAAATTAACTGATCAAAAATACATGTTAGTAATTTCAATAAATTTCTACGCAACTAATGACAGTCTGTACGGTCAATAATATTCGACGTTGTCTACCATCGACATAATTTGGCTCGTTTGAAATGTCTTGTGAAATCAAAATGAAAACATATCTCCTACAGTCCCATTCATCAGCCACACTGTCTTACTTTTTAGATTTCAAACCACAGTAAAATTCGAAACAAATAAACAATGCAGTGATATACTTTAATAGAAGTGATAGTAAATTTATAATGGGAAACGCAGCAAGCTCAGCCAAGAGAATTAAATCAATTGGTACCTGTGTTAGTTCAGGACCCGAGAATCCATTCGAAATCGCATTCGTCAGAAGAGAACGGGCCTGTTTGCATGAAAGTTTTCAGGTCACAACAAATTGTTAAATTTTAGGTAGAAGGTACAATTAGGAAGCTTTATCAAACAAACTTTCGCAATTCGTTTTATCTCATCGTGCTGTCTTATTTCAAAAGAAATTAATTTCCATTTAGTTATTTCATTCGTTTATTTATCCATTAACTTGTTTGTTTCAATCAAAAGTAACATATATCTTTTGCGCCTCTGAAATTTACGATTTCTTTTTAAACTCTTTTAGAAATTAGCTAAAAGAAATCATTGGGATTATATTTGTGAAAATCCTAAACGATATTGCACCCGAATTAAAAAAGGTCATTTTCTTGCTTTTCAACTTCTTATAAAGAAATAAATTAATTAATCTCCGATATTTAAAACAATGAAGATAAAAAGTTGCTCAATGTAGTGAATTAGTGGTACTCAATAACAGATTTCATTATCGAATTAAAAAGCCTTAGGTGCCCACATAGTTTACACCGAAATTCTGTTTACAATATGATGAGATGAAGTTTCAAACGATCTTCTAAACCGAAACATATATGGGTTACTGAGGAACAGCGGCGCACAATCATCCAATGAGTTTGGTTTTAATTAAATTGGCTAGAAAACTGCTAACAAAAAAAAAAAAACATTTCTTATGTTAATACCTTATAATTCCCTGGCTAAATTCGAATTAGCCAAAATTTTTACAGCCTTTTGATGCTGAAAGATCGTCCAAAGTAGCAATGCCAAAATTGCCAAAACTGAGTGGACACATCGCACGGTTTACTGATTGTCTTGACCAAGTACGTTTTATTTCAAATTAATCGATAATAGAATGTGTTTTGGAATTTCAGAACTTTGTAGACTTTTAAATTGTCATATAGACTAAAAGGACATTTAGCACAGTTTGAATTTTGAAAAAGGAAAAGTTGAACAAGTGGGACTCAAAATGCTACCTATTAAACCAGTACTATTTAGTCCAATTTTATAATATAAACTTTACGGCTTGTTTTATGTAACCAAATTCTGTATCGGACCGTATTTCCATTCTAGCTATCCAGTATTGAAGCAAACATTGCTAGAAGGTACTGATGTTCAGATTTGTTACTGTAACTGTTTAAAAATTTTAACTTTAATGTTTTTGATGGTAATTACACGAATTTATTACAAACCAGTTTTTCATATTTCCATCCGATTAGAAGATTCAGCTGGATTGTTACTATTGGATATATTTTATCACAACAATTACAGTTGACAAATATGATTGGCTATACTGAAAATCTGCTTGGTGCTTGGCAAATGGCTCGTAACACCGGTCGAGCGCATTCTCGACAACCGTTTTTAGAAATGAACCAAAACAAAGAGAAGAATTATTTTGCCGTTATAGGCAATACATTCATCAATGAATTCATTCCCTATCTGAATGGTGAAAAAGTGAATCACTGCGTTTCTTTTTTTGGATTTATTAAAGTTCAGTTTAACTGACTGTCTTTTCCAAACTTACACTGAGAGAAGTAACAATAATTTGGCAGTACCAAAATTAAAGTCAGTTCACGAAATTGGTATTTAATTTTAGGAATTTCAGGAAGAACCAAGTCTGGATAAAAAGAAAGTGCGGTTTGCTTCCACTTATTCTGTAACAATGATAACCGACGTGTGGCAAAGGTTCTTCACCATTCTGGTAGCACAGATTACGGAAAGTTTTGAACAGGAACGGAAAAAGCGTAGCAAGATAATCAGTCAGAAAATACTAATACCGCATCAACTTAGTGAGGAGAATGCGCGATCGAACGAAAAGAACCGGTTAGACTAAAGTTTGAATATATAATATCATGGCTACAAACTAGTGGTCTTCAAAGCAAAGTCCTTTCAACAATTCAATGGTATTTTTTAGAGTTTTCGAAGCTTTGCGAAATCTCTAAAGTTAAGTCTTTCGAACTAATTTCAATCCAGTCAACGAGAGCATAATTTTATAATTGATCGTTTTCACCCAAATAAGCCTGGATTGCCAGTACTAGGCGTACGGTCATATTATACTAATCTCGTGGTCGTCACAAACGATGTACGAGTATTCCTGATACTTGAGAAATGATTATTGTTCATAGCTTCGCGGACTTGATATAATCATCTTCCAATGATTTATTGCAGATCTGGTTTTGGCAGCAATACGAAATCAGAAAGAGTGGTATTTAGTTCCTGATTTTTGTTTCTCACTTCGCCCCTATAACTTATTCCCGTTTGTTTCGTAACTTTTCTCCTATTAGCGATTTAGGAGTTAGATATCATGACAACTAAATTATCAGAGATCTCTGTCAGATAAAGAGTGCTCTTAAATCCTGTCACACGTGATAAATCGACGAAAGTTACCCCAGAGACGATAGCTCAGTTCCCCTTACTGGAAGTCATTCAATCAGCAGTTCTTTTAAGTGGTTCAATATCGAAACTTAAGTTAATTTCATAAATTTTCGATTTATTTGAAACTATATTCCAGGACCAAATTCCCAGAGATCAGGAAAAATGCAGCAATTACAATAATTAGAGATGACTTCTTTACTCCATCCATCTCCATTCATCTTTTATGGCTTGCTAAGAGACTATATCAGGAAAGACGACACCAAATGCAGAAGAAATCAATATCTGTCGAAAATAGACAAACAATGTAGACAAAACAATTTCTGCAGACTTTCCTGAAACTGCTACAAACATCCTCTAATCATTATGCATTAAGCATGCGAATTCCTCAATCATTATTTCTTTATTGCTTACAAAACATAGACATTCTTTAAATGCTGACTTTCATTCCTTTACATTAGCACGAGTAATATGTAAGCCATTGGTAAAGATCGACTGACATCAGGTGATCCAAATAAACATAACGCAAGAATCTAATGAATTAATAAAGAGAAATTTTTAATGATTGGTATCGTACATTATTTTAACGAAACACTTCGAATCTTGTTCTGTTTGTATAAGGAAAAAGAAATCATAATTGTACTATATTTTGAAGTGCTATAATAAGACATGAAAAGTTCCACTTTCATCTGACTTTGTATAATAATAAAGCATTAAATAAAGTACATAAACTAGAACTCATTCCCACATCATGATTATCAAAAATAGTTAATTTTATCGAAAGAATTTTCGAATTAATCTGTTAATATGGGACAATGTAGCTCAACATCTAAACAATTTGAGATGATTGAGGGTTTGACTGGGCCATATTTGATTTTGATAAGACCTAAAATTATACAAAGCATTCAAAATTAGCAACAAAGTCGTGTAAAATGATTAGAAACTTACTGTGCCCACTCGAGTTATCCGTTCAAGTCTCAGGAGAAGACAGCAGTTAGATTCTCAAAAGGCAAAGAAAATTAAAAACTAGTATGGAAATGGTCAGATATGTGGAATACCGAATAAGAATTTCATACCAAATAGGGATTTTTTCTCATATTTTCAATGCCATTATGAGTTTTCAAATCCAGTCACATGACGAGTTTGATTAGGAAGAAATGAAAGCTAAGTTGAAAATCAGAAACTGACTGAAAGGAACGCCATTTTGGATATATAATTGGTGAATTCATCGGTAGTTCCCCATCTGCATCGCAAATAACCGTATAAATTTGCTCCGTTCATTAAGGCACCCATTATAGCTACCACCATCCACTCCCATTTCAGGGTCACGAAAGCAATGCATATTAATATCATCCACATAGCTGGTGCTGCAACCAGAGCACCCCAAAAAATTCGCCGTTCCAAAGCATCGAAGCGGGACATATCCTATAATAATTTCTAATGATATTTTTACAATGAAGAGAAGTGAATATGTTTTTTGGTTTTATAGAAGATGGCTTTTTGCTGAAAATACTTGGAAAGACCAAAGTTAGGATTAAAATCCAGAAAAAATCATCAGACAACGAAACTGTCCTTTCCCCAGGAAATCACTCATCACCACTTGTATACAAGAAACTCTGACAAACTTCTTCACTTATCTTTCTGGAAGTTTTACCTTTGCTGATTCATATCGCCAATGACTGTTACCTTCAGCATCAACAAAATTCCACCAACGAAGCCCGACAAGAAGGCGTCCAGTTATATTTTTTACGGTCCAGAAATCAATGGATAACAAGGTAAGCTGAAAAGAGCAGTAGAAAATAGTCATAGCACTGCAAGAGATTAAAAGAGTTTTATTCATTAACAAGAAAGAATGAAGAAATCAAAAAGGCTTTAAAAACTTACAGTAACTAAAAAATGTATGGTAAAAGAATTTGTGAAGAAATACGCAAAAACGTAAAAGAAAATAGCGGCTGAACGAAAGATCACATGAGAAAGTACAATGGATGGATGGCTGAAAGAAAACATAATGATGGATCTTTCATTAATGCTTTCATTAACATTTCTATTTCTGACTAATTAACGTAATTTATAGCTACCAGCACTTTTTCAATACCCTAAATTAATCCTTCATTGTTCGCCCAGCTTTTAAGCTATGTTATTCAACTTTCTTTTGCTTTTTAAACGTTGGCTATACTTTTCATAACGTACCTAACTGAAAAATGGGACAATATGAAATCCCCCTCACATTCGCAAAACTTAATTCGCAAGGTTACACTCTGCTCTGACAACTTACAGATGCTTTCCTTGTGTATATTTTGATTTCCCAACGTACCCAATAAAGTTGTCAAAAAAAAGCAAATCCTGACGAAATTATACCTGAATGTCCCTTGCGTTCCGAATTTTATAAATCCTTGTCCTGGAGGGATATTCAATTTCGAATCAAAATTCGCAGCCATGTTGTCTTCGTGAAAATAATCAAGTATTTCTAAGAACGGTTTTACCTTTAAACACAGCTATTAATTTAAATTCTCGAAATCTAAAAATCACTACAAAATGTTGCTCCGCAATAAATAAAAAACAAAAGCCGATAATAATTAGTCTGAGCAAGAATATAATCTCTATTGTTGAATCTAAAAATCAGCGGTCATAGATGCATTTATCAATTCATTTATAATAGAAGTGCAACCGTAGATACTACATTCGGAATACTTATTATTAACGTAGCATCACTGACTTCACTGTATAGTTAATGCATATTGTTAGATCTGATGATTTACTTAAAAGGATAAAATAGTGTGAGATGCTGCCATATCCCCAATTAACAGTACAAGTGGAAAAACCAAACAAGTTTTGTTTTTTGCAGAGGCGTTATTCCAAATTAGTTCAAAAGAAGCAATACTTCACTACCAATCTGAGTGGAACAGAGTAGCAAGGATCTATTACAAAAGAAAACAATAACCGCATAACTCCTTGCCTTTCTACGTCCCTCTTCCTTTTTCTGCTGTCTCCTTTACAGGCGACATACTTGACAGCGAAAAATAAGGAACAGGACGAAGTATCAACTAAGACAAAATTCTGCACCAAATTCTTGACATTTAAACTCAGATCCACACATCTCCGCTTCATCTTCGTCCAGTTAAGAATTCCGAACAAAAAAGCCGAATGAACCAACAAACTCTACAAGAGCTGGACATATAAAAACAACAAGTAAAACAGTAGTTAAAACAAAATTTATGCAGTATTTGAAAATAAACTACATTGCATCAAAACTTTATATGGAGATTTATTATGAAACCAGTTATGGTACAATGTCAGTAAATAATTACATTTCAGAAAAGACCATCAAAACATAAATACTACTAATCGGATGTGAGATCTAATAAATTTTCTTATGTCGGAACAATAACACTATATAATCATTACAGTGATATTCAATTCCGATGTATGTCTCCACTTTCATTTGGTCAGCAAACAGATTCCAAATTGTAAGATTTATAAGAACTTACTGAGGCAGACATTTGATCAAGTAAAATAAATAAGAAATGATAAAAAAACAATAACGAAATCCCGACAATGCCGCTCAAAATAGCGTTGATTTCCAAAACATCATGGATTTCGAAGTAGAACAATGACAGTGTCATTCCAAAGAGAGAATTTTTATATTGTCCTGTTATTTACAAATTAATACAGTGGAATTTTAGTCCCTTCCGTATTCTTCATTTTATGTCCAGCAATATAGCAATTTCTTCTTGCTCACACCGGAGTCTCAACTTCTTTTCTACTATCGCATCTAGCAATTTCTCATGCTCACCAGCATTAACATCTTTGTAATCCATGATGAGTGACTTAGACCACGGACATTCAGCATACGCTAGGTAGAACACCTTCAAAAAGACGATATATACTCAGCAGTGAAATCTTCATAATTTGAAATATTATTTTAGAAACGTTACAGATATGAGTGGTAGAAAAGTAATGAAACATTTCTAACAGCTATTATAGAAGACTGTGGGAATTGTAAACCAATTTATACTCAGATTAAGTGAATAATTTTAGAAAAAAATATTAATTTGAAAAGTGGGAAAAAAAACCTCGCGTGCACGCAGGATATCTTTTCGTTCATTCTCGATGAGCAATAATAGACGCCAAAAAACATCATCACGATGGCAGATGCGCTCACTTGACTTCTTCACAACTGCTCTAAGACGATGCAACTCAGGCGACTGGAAATCGTTCGTCTCTAGTAGTATTCTGTGTCGGAGCAGTTCAAGATACACAGAACCAAAAGCAAGACAGTAATTCGCATGCCAATCTAGAATAAAATTAAATTCAGTTGAATTCATCTAAGTATGTAGAAGTTCCTTTTTAACATTCTCTAGAACTGAAATCAAACAAGTACTTATTATGAATCAGCGAAGGTCTACTAATGAAATCAATATATTTAATATACTTAATGACTGCCAAACCCATTCATCTATTGAATCAGGAAAAAAATTATATCTCGAAATGAAATCTAAAATGCATGGGATCTCTGATCAAGAAAAAGCTGAAAATGTACGATGAGCGGAAGGAGACAAAGTATAGAAAAGGAAGGCTCAAAGTGTAAAGATGGAAGTTTCTTTCTATTATTCAAGATATAAACGTTTAAATCGTAAAAATGAAATTGGGAACCATACTTTTGTTAGAATAAAAAAATCAGCGCAAAAACTAAGATCATAACTTCCGTCTAAAACATAAACGCTGAGATACGACTATACACGAGCTGATAATTGCTAACGCCTGTTGTTAAACTTTTTCGTTTAACCAACTCGATGTTCATAGTGATGGCACAAGTTGAAAATAAAATCATACCTTCTACATCATTTTCCAGGAATCTTCTTAAATGTATAACACGTGTTCCTACAGCACAACAGTCTATATAAATCCTCAAAAACGATATTTCTGTTGGAAATTTTTGATAAGCCATTACAGATGCTTCCACAAGGAGGCGTTGGGGCTCACATGGATTACTCGTGATATGCATTTTCAATAGTTCCAGATATTTTTTCTGGAATTTCAGCATTAACTCCTGGATGAATGAGCTGCTTAAACCGTACCAAGAAAAAAAACAGCTCCAATAAGAAACAGCTTACTAATGAAGGATACTAAGCGAAATGAATGAATTAAAAGCAGCCAAGTTTCCTGAGAGAATACTTTATTTAATCGAATTATTAACTGCTAGGAATGCATAACTTTGTCCCTAAAAGTATAGTTCTTATTTTCAGCTTTATTCGTTTACAAATCGGTAATTGCTTTTATCACCAGATCAAGTCAGCATTCCCTTTTGTTCAATAAAAACAGAAGCAATTTTAGTCTTAAGGATAACGAACCGTAAATCTACGCTGTGAATTATTCTTCATGATGCCAGACAGAGTTGTATAACATTTCCTTAAATTATGTACTCTTTTACTGTTATCAGCATAATAATATGCAAAAAGAAGAAACAGTGACGCAGCGAGATCAACTGCAGAGCCTTCCCATGTTTCGTTCACGAAATCAGCTGTCAAAAGATTATGGAGACGAATGTTAACTTGCTTTTCAATTTTTGCTGCATCTGTTGTCTAAAATTACATAATAGCTGAAAGAACTTTAAAGTGAAGAAGCCTATGCTTGTGTAAGATCTATACAATTATTTTACATTCGTATATTCATGAAAATCCTCAGCATATTGCTTTCGGTTTTACTGATACATCAAAGTACAAGAACACTTCATTCAGCATATCATGCCATGCACAGCCCACAAGTAAGTTTCATTAAAGAATGTTACCAAATAAAAGAACAGCTTCAGATGCACACAGAGTTAACCATTAAAGAGCAAATTAAAATCAAATTAAAAACAGTTATTAAGTAATAAAGATGTTTTAAGCAATAACCCAAATTTTCAAAAAGTAAGTCTAGTAGTCCTTTTCAAAGTTAAAATTACCACATTAGCGATAGACCTTCCTTCACATATGAAACTCGCGATAAGACGCTGCTTTTCGCTTTCGTCATCAGTTGCCGATATACAAACAATAGCCATACGAAACAACGAAATTGCCCGTACCATTTCAACCTTGCTCCACATATTCGTTATGAGGAATTTATTGGCACATGCTTTTGCTGCGCCTTTCTCCCCCAGTTCATACATCTAAACAAATCAACACAAACTACCAATAAGTCCCCTTCAACTGTTATTTTTACTCGTACTTTTCCCTGAACCCCATTTCAATGATTTTTCAAAGAAATTGATTTTCAATTAAAGTTTGACATCTATAAGGCACACCTTTTCTGCAAATGTTGCCATCAGTGAGGCATTGTTAACATTGTTGTTCCTATTGCATATATTTTTTGCTTCGTCCCGAAATTTCTTCAGACGCATTTTTTCGTTCAAATTACCATCCATTTTAAGAAAATTAAGATATCTAAATAATTACTAAAGATATCAAACAGCATACAAGGTACTTACTGATGTCGTTCGTAATTGACAGAAAAGATTCTAAACTCTTTAGACAAGGTTTTAGTAATAGTAAGACAGATATGACTATTTCTATTAGTATGCTTTGAATTTATCATCCATATTGTATACCCACTGTTACTTGTGGGAATGAAATAAAGTAGAAAGGACTGTAAGTTGAGATCAATTTACAGTAAGATCATGATCAATGAATCCAATAATCGGAGGAAATAAAATCTGGAAATTTAAAACACTGATGATGTTTTATATAACATACGTGAGTAGCTGTGACGATAGCAGTAAATCTCGTTCTTCTTGTATATAACTGGAAGCCAGTTCGAAAAATCTACTCATCGATTTATCAAAATTTCTCAAACGCAGAGAAAGATCAGGAAAAATAGCAAACTCATGCATAATGTTTGTTGATAAAGTTGAATCCTGAAAAAATGCAACAAAAGTTTCGAAATAATGGAAAATGGGAAATCGTCCAGAAAAATCGAAATTCCAATAAGTAAACCCACTGTTTCTGCTTCTTAAATAGTTAGAAGCTATTAAATTAAAATAAGTATCGATTTTTCATTGTATATCAGTTTCCACATGTGGCATGTTTATGTATTAAAATTTCCATTAAATTATGTATTAAGAAATTGTTTGTGTATTAATGTTTTTACATATTTTATTAAAATTTAAAAAACTGAAAGCATAAGAAACTAAATGTCATGAATCCTACAGGAGAGATCATTACTCGTTCATGTCCTAATATAGTGCCACTAAAGTTTTACTGACACCGTGTTCAGATTGTTATTACTAATCAGTTTAGTGCTCCAGTCTGATCCTGCAGCATCCTAGCGTTCAAATAATTTTTGGAGATGGGATTGCAAGGAAATAGTTCTTTAATATTACTAAAAGTTTACTGCAGATATTCGCATACCCGACCATATATCACTGCTCCAAATTCTTCCATAATACTGCAGAAAAGATCGAAAGTAACAGGGGGACTAAACATATACAACACATCCTCAATATCTTGAAACATCACAACTCGTTCTCTGTCATCGAACTGCAATCATTACAAAATGAATTAAAACTGTAAAGAATAAAAGTCCTTAGATGTTGCAACTTTTTTTTCTTTTACTTAGGGGATACATACCGTCGCGCTTAAATCTCTAATTGGTCTCCACTGATACTGCGTGCGCAAACGTTCTACTTCTATCCAAACCAGATGACAAGGTAATTTTAAGCCCTTTGAGCCAATTCTGTTACATAATTCCGCCTCCGTTTTGTCATATTCTGACTGTTCCTCCTCGCATAGTGACCGATCTGTTTTTACCGCTCCTTCCTTTATGTGTTCCATCGATTTAGCCCATCCTAAAGGTAAAAACCGCAATGGTTAAAAGTCTTGACATCACTAAATACTGGAAATTTTGAAAATGAAGTTAGAAATAAAATCCGATTCAAAAACCTTCTGCGCCTTCATCTCCGATACGTGCAATTCCACTGTCCCAGAAAACTTCGAAAAATTTTCGTTTATCTTCCAAGTTCGCATTTTTGAATGATTCCGGAACGCATAGGTTAAATTCACAAATAGCTTGGGCCATTCCAATTGCCTATAAAGCATAAATATTACCTTCTCAGAAAAGAAAGCAAACGAAAGCAAATGAAAGCAACGTAACCTTTCTACTTCCTTTCAATACAGCCCTTTCCTTCCCTACTCCCTCTGTAAATAAATTGAAACAAAATATATAAAAACAAAAAAATGAGAAACACAGGAGATATCTAATTGTACTCATAAATGCCCATGACAGAGTCATTCATGTGAAAAAAATCTAAACAGTAAAAATTTTCATAAAACATTAAGTTGCCTTTTCAGTATGTCCACATTTTAATAAAAGACGTATTTTGCGAAGGACCACTGATGCCATGAATTGTTCAGTGTTTGGCAGTGCCTTATGTGACAATAATTTACCGGTACGTATTTCATCAAGTTTCTCCAAACATACTTTCATCTTCATGCACTAAAACACTGAGTTAAAAAAAAAAATCTGAGAAACAAAAAGATCACTAAATTAGCTGCCTGTGGAAGATAATTACATGAAAATACATAATTAACATGGACGATAATATCAGATAAAGTGAATTATCATATTCTCCAATAATATAAAAAAGCCTATTCATTTCAAACATAATTCACAATTCAATAGAGGTTTTTCCATCACAAACCTGATTAGCAAGATTGAACCGCCGCGTGTCACTCTCTAAAAGATCAAGTATGCCTTTCCACATTTCCGGATCATTGACATGTTTGAACTCCACCTTGACATAAAGAGAGTGTTGAAAGCAATTATTGTTAATGAAGCAAAAGTATAATAACTGTTGAAGTAAAACAGAAGTTCTTTAAATACTAAGAAGTATAATTAGAGCAACAAACTAACATCTCTAATTTCGCGACTGAAAACATTCTCATCCCATAATTGCATTCCAATTTTTAACCGTTCCAGTTTGAGCTTCACACAGTTGAAGTTAAAAGAAATAGCCTGCAAGTGCAAACAAAAATAATATCCACAGTTACACCGATACCTCAAAGGTATGAACATTCCTGTTATTGTTACTGAAGTGGGATAAAAGTTGGAGACCTATTACATTTCACAAAACAAAAAGAAAAAAACGACAATGAATCTTCATGCAAATATTTTTTTGACCAGAAAACAAAGATTCACTTGGCATGAGCGAAATATTAACCTTTGTAACATACATAAATATCCGCCAATACTTCACAGTAAACTAATATTAATACATCACATTGTTACCCGCAAACAGCAGCAAAGATATAAAATAATCCAATACCTTGTCCAAGATGCTCATTTTTCGCTCCAAGAGCTCACGATTCGTAAGCCGCTCATTCCTTGCCTTCTTATCTTCCAGGCTGTCCTGAGCCAAAAACACTTCATCCTTAAAAAACTCAATTACATCACAGTGATAACTGCAGTATTTGGAGTGATATGAAAATGGCAAAGGGAAACCAAATAAATTAATTCGACGAAAAAACATATAAGTACAATAATTCCTACCTGAACTGCCAAGAATCTCAGCCACAATTCAATATTATGTCGATCTTTTCCTAATTCCGCATTATACTTGCGACTTTTTGCTTCCGGTGTTGTCTCAGCCAAAGATCTTCCACCTTGAACTGCTTTACACTTTTCCAGGCTCAAATTTCCACTCTCATCCTTAATTAGAAGTGAAAATTATAAGAAAGTGAAAACTCGGAAATTATAGCAATATAATTGAAAGAAAATAGTATCACTTTCAAATCATTTTCTGACAGAGCAAATTTAGACAGCTCAATGTAATCAGTGCAAGGCTTTAGTTCTTTTCTCCTCCATAATCGTTCTGGTTCTTCTTTCCAGGCCTTCCTGACTTTATCGCTGAAGTATCTTTGAAAGTTATCCTTCCTTTCAGAAGTGCCAAAACGAAACCTAAAAGCACAAAATATAAAACCAATTTTCTGTAACGAAAATGGATAAGGAATTACCCTGACGAACTCTAATCAATCCTGGCAGAAATAGCTAAACTAGCAACAGTATTAAGAAGAGCCAGAGAAGACAGCGCAAATCTAAAATTCTTTCCCTTGTTAAGTACATCACTTAACGAAGAAAATAAATATTTGTAATTTAACAGTAATAACTTTAAGACATACCTTTCAAGAAGTTCGTTACCACCAAGAACTTTTTTGAATAGGAGTTCGTACTGTGCCACGTCGCCCTTGTATAAAGATTCATAATGTATATTAGAACGATCACCTTTCAAATCCATCATCATGAATGATCTCGCGTTAGATGGGTCGAATTCCACCATAAAGCTCCACCGATGATTTGCCTAAACTAACAAAAAAACTGAAAATACAATTGCATAACAATCTGACAATACAAAATCTTAGTTTTGCAGGTTAAATCAAGTGGTTTTGAATCACCAGTAGAAGAGAGGTGGTTTGATGGCTACACCTTCAAGTAAATCTTCGAAAACGTGTATGCGGTTATGTCTGACATCGTCATGCCATCTTCGTCGGTAAGCGTTTTAACGGGATAAATAAATTCAATAATGATTTTGGATCAGCTGAATCGTGGCTAAAAGACTACATCTCCGCTCTAAAACTAACACAAAGTATTTGCGGGGCTGAAGGTCGCGTATATTTATTTTCGCTTGAACTCGAACTGAAGCTATCTCTCGATGAATCGGACGATGAATAAGATGATGATGAGGAAGTGGATCGTCTGCGTCTCTTTTTTTTGAAGAGTGTTTTGACTTTCTTTTTTGTTTCATACTTACAATAGGCACAGTGTCCATAGGTACCTCGATATCACTTTCATCATCTGAATTGATGCTGACTATCTGCAAAAGACATCCAGCAAAAATATATTTAATTTCTACATACCTGAATTTTATGTCCTCGCAACTAAAATAGTCACTGTCTATAAATCATCTTCCTCAATACGGTAACAGTTCTAGCTGAAAGCTCCCACTCTTGTTTTTCCGTTCTTCCAGCTTACTTATCTTAATGACAACTTTTCTCCTCATTCCCCTTTTATTTCCTTAACAATCTTGTTTAACCACAGCCACAAAAACGATCGGATGATCGTATGCAAACAGACAAATTGTCTCCATTATATGACTTCATCTCCTTTCTTCTCTTACCATCTCCCAAAAGTACTGAGAGAATCCAGAGTTGTTTTAGTATCCAATGAATATATCCACTAATGCCCGCTAACAGAGTCTCTCGAAAGAAATTATCTTTCTGGATAATACACAATCACCTCCATTTCGGTAATACCTGATGAACCAATTATAAGTAAACGCTGAAACCTTAACTTATCTAATACAAATCGTCTTTCACATTTAGCTCTCAATAATTTGCAAAGGACCAAAATGACGATACTTTGATAGAATGCTGCGATAACATCCGCTCCCGTTCAAGTTCTTTTTTCCGTTTCGCTTTTTCTTTTATCTTTTTTTCCTGACGTTCACGTCTTCGTTGCTCTTTATTTTCACATTTTTTCTTTGATCTCGAGGCAAAAGAACCGAAACGACCACTGAAATCGTTCTCTTCATCGGGTGAGGCAATACGACGTGGAGGAGAATCCCGATCATATGCGGGAAACATTGTTCTGTAAGTAAGTGCTGATAATTGCCGACAATTAACTTATTACTCATGGCTTTATGGCTATAGCTAGAGGAAGGAGGAGGAAGAACGGTCGCTCTTACGTGTGATCACAGTTTTGAAACCTAAAACTTCGTTCAAAGACATATACAGGGTCGAAAAAGTATGCTCAATAGTTGCTAATGATGCAGCCTCTTCCTTCCCCCTTCTTCCTTATACTAGCAATCGTTTGATCAGAAATCTCGTTCTTCAAATCTTTTATTTTATAACAAACATTAAGTCTAAAGAATTATTCCAGAAACGGAGTAGCATGAAGTACAAGCTGATAAACCGAAGACCCCAGCACCATTCACACTTATATATTCCAAGCGAGGGAGTAATACTAAAAGTCTCGCAAGCAAAAAGACAATCTTCAATAGCGAACCGAATCCCACAAGCCCTTTTTCGTTACTAGTTGGCAGAGAAGGAAGACTCTCGAGGCTCTCGTTAGTGCTATGCTAAGAAATTTGAATTCTGAAGTTAGAGAAGATCTATGTGAATTCATGTTCAATGATATATGTATTATATTTATATATATACATATATTATATATACGTATATATAGTCATATACATATATATATATATATATATATATATATATATATATATTAGTCTATCATCTATT